ATACCTGCAATACAGTCTTTTAATCCACACCTTTTTGAGTCTACAAAAATGTTATGTAACTTTGCTGGTCCTCAGAAAATGTTCAAGAAGTTTGGTGATCTGCAGAAATTTTTTTTAATTCCATCTGTGAGCCAAAAAGGTTGTGGAGCACTGTTCTAGATCAATTTTTTTTTTCAAAGGTATACGCAGGAAGACCATTTTAACAGCTGGCTGAAAGGATCTTGACAAAATGCAATTTAAATATAATGTATAGTTTCAACAAACTTTAAAAATTCATAACAAACAGATTTGTTGCACTTTTCCAACTGCTCCCCTCCTGTATGTCCCATTTTATGAAGTTTTCAACCAATTTTTTTATTCAACCAAGCAAATTCAACAGGAACTCCCATATTGCAGCATCAAAAGTGTCACTCAGAGGAAGTTATAGAAGTCCGTTCAGCTGGGAAACATTATGTTCTGCATCGAAATTCTCTTACATGGCCAGAAAAACTCACATTTGAAGGAATTATCCTCTTGCCTTTCAAAAGATGTCCCACACCATTTGTACTGCACAGCAGTATACTATCATAACGAATTTTTAAGGTTTCACCTGCCTGAAGCGCGTCATCAGAAAAGCCTGCCAACAAAGGAATTCGAAATTTTCTTGAAGGTATCATTTTTTCCAGGCTCTCATAAAATTCCTGTCCTAAAATATGAAAAAGAAAATTCGTCGCGTTGGGGGCCGTAATTGAAGAAAATCTGGAGCAATTTAACTGTATGTACTGTATCTTTCAGAAAGGACCATTTCAAGCATTCATTAATGATATAAGATTATAAGTCACCACTTTCATTTGTAATTTAAGAACAATAAATAGAGGTTATAGACTGATCCGAAGCTCGTAGCATAGTTATTCTAATTAGAACAGAATTACGCTGTATCACTTCTCCGCTTCGGTAAACACAAAACTAGCGTTCGGCAGCTGTTATATAAACGTGAGTCATAACAGCTGACGTGTCACCATGGGTTCACGAAGGTTATTCACAGTTGACACACACGGCGAATGCACACACTAAAGAAATCCACGACGGTTGTTCCCGAAAAGTGGGACTTACCTCCGAGTGAAATGCTTCACGTATAAATAGCGGATATATGAAAAATATTGCGTTGCTCGAAGTGAACAATAAATGCCATCACGCTCAGTCGCACATCAACCGTTTGGGAATGAAACGTCGCAACGAAATAAAGACGCACAAGACACGAAGCGCTTGTTTACCCGAGGCCTTTCACAGAAACGATTATGTGGAACTCACGTACAAATTTAGATAACAGCACATTAGAACTTCCTATCACACAAAGCAGGACACGAGCGAGGGTCTGATACCACTATTTTACGGAGGAACTAGGATGACATGTTCGGAGCGAAAGGAATAAGGTCATATCTCCGAGGAAGAAACGGAGCGTTTACCAAAAGCACTGGTTCTTTACGACCGTTTTCGTATCAAACGCCGCGGTCGTGTTTCAAGTCGGGAACAATTTTCAACGACCATGGATGTAGAATTGAGGATGCGCAGTATAACTTTATTATTCATTTGAAGGTGATCGGAGCTGAATCTACGATATCAAATTCGTCTTTGACTGTTTTTCATAGAGGTGACGATGACTCAAGAAATTCAACTAGTTTCACAACATATCCCACTGAACATCAAGCATGATGAATCGGTTCAAATGTTCCTTCATTACGATTAAATCGGGCACTCGAGCGTTTGAGTCAACATCCTTAAAACTGCTGGAGATACGGGGTAAATCAAAGCTTAACCTAAAACACGTTATGGTGAAATATTTCTCAAATTAAAGCTCCGAGTTGATGGATCAATTTTTTGCCGTGTTGGTCAACCTTAACACTCGGCGTCACCAACACAGGCAATGTCTCGTACAGGCAACTTGATGCTTCTTCTTCGACTTCATGTCCAGTATTTTGGTCACAATCGAATAATTCATTCCGAGATTTCGACAATGAATGGTTTCTAATTCGCGTATGAACACCGGTTGAACCTCGATCAAATGTTTCTAGTCCCAGTGTGAATTCACTTAGAAACAACTCATTATAAACCTCTTCAACTACTGTATAAGGCTTTTTTTTGTCGAACCTTCATAACTCGATTTTTCTGGGGAGCTTTTGGCTATTGTTTCATTGACACAGAGAAGAGAAAAGCAATGAAAATTCAACAATGTGCTTTGAAAAGAAATGCGAGACTAATGGGGCAAATAAGCCCATGCCTCCAAATTCAACATCCTGTCAACTCATCCAAGTAGCAATTTAAGACCCAGAATATTACCAATCACAATCCCCTGCAATTATTATTTTGTTCCCCTCGACACAAATGCTTGTTTCCCCAACTCGAATTTCTTTAGATGATCCCATGAAGTTCGACTATAGAAGAGGTTGGAATGCAGATCGAGGGAACATGCCTTTTCTTAAGCCTAGCAGCACAATCGGTTGAAAAGTTCTGTTGTGTACAAAAAACATCCTCGCCAGTCCTAAACAACTTCGGTCCGTGAAGAGCTTCAAAAAACGGATCCATCTCAACGCTGAAACAGTACTTGACGCAGTGGTGGAGCTGGAGTCGCGATATGACTCACAGACCAACCGGGTCGTAGTTCACGGTCACTGACTAGATCAACAATGCTTTATGCGAACCATACCCGAAGCATCATACGCGCCAATTAGCACACAAAATCAGCGACCTCGTCCGGCGCGCGGATTCAGCCTTTAGTTGGCTGCATGACAGTTCTCCAGCGCAGGACGAGTCGATTTCACTCGGAACAAACATCTGATGGCGGAAATTCTGACGAAACAGACGAAGAGATTAAGTCGTCAACGAGTTGAGCAAACTGACGGGGAAGAGGAGACCCTCGCGTATATATAGATGCGATACGCACGCCACGTTGATCATCAAGAAAATCTACAAACCGCGAAAAACGATTTCGGTATGTACTGTATCCACAATCAAGATCCGAAAACGCTCAACGACTCACAAAACGCGGGATAATTTCGGTTTGATTACCATCAAGATATAAAACTCGGCGATCTACAAAACGTCAAATTACTCCGGTGACAGTAAAAGCGGTGTTAACCTTTCGTAATGTGCCACTATACAGTTATATAGAAAATTATATAAAAACAAATATTAACATCAGCGACTCTCGTGCAACCATGCCAGTTCTTCGGAGAAAGTAAAGGAACAATAGGTCAACTTTCAGGAGAACGATTAAGGTCTTCATCGTTTCTTGAGATTCGTCGTGAATCTATAACACTAGGATGTTTCTTGAAAGGCAAAAACTGTTCCCTCGCCAGTTCCAGGCGAAAAAAAAATTTCAAAAACATCTTTCAGCGACGATTTACGAATTTCCAAATTTTAATCATCTTCCAACCTTCGAAACACCCGAATTCAATAATTATTGTACTGTAAATGTTCATAACATTGCAGTTTACCATGGGATCTAAAAGCGCACGTGAATCATCTCGCACAATGAACGTCATGATTACACAACTAACAAACGAGTTTTGGGACAGAGACAAATATTGAAAGCAGCCGTATCTGCACATTAATTGTTACGCGAGAAAACGGCAGATGTGGAATCACACACTCAATTCACTTGAAATAAGTTCGCGATATAATCACAGTCACGATCTGAACATTCACAGGTTCCACGACACAAACCCATCATCAACGGTGATAATCGACACAACACGAACAGAAATGAAGATTGCAAGCAATGAATCCACAGATTAGGAAGGAGGGGCATTCCGAGTGGATTTACACTTTCAACCCACCCAAGAGAACAAGGACGAATGAACAGTTATACAAATACGGTCTCGTTCTGTCAAAATACACATCGAAACTCGCCAGAATTTTCTTCATTTCGATGTGATTCAGACTTCGGGAGTGAAAACATTTTTTTTAGGAACAAGAGGTTTTACAAATTGTAATGATCCATTAGTGTACAATGACATGAACTGGAAGTTGTCGGGACCAGGGTTGATAATTTTGTGAAAAATTAACATAATCGCAATCCACTGCGATTTCCATCGGGAATTAATTTATACTGAAGGATTACGATCATGATGGCGGTTTAACAGGGGTTGATGGCCCATGAGAATAAGAAGGCTAAAATAATATGAAAGTTGGGTATATGAGAAAAAAATCGTATTTTCTTCTAGAAATCGATCAAATTAACCCTGGTATGCGTGAATTATACCACAAGTTGAATCATGCCATCTTCGTGTTCATTTTTTTTTTACACTGGCGATCTCTCGAAGAAAATTTGATCTCGTTGGCTGGATATCAAATACAAAATTAATTGACAGGAAAATATTTCAGTAATCCTTCATTTAGGCAGATGCCGTTTTAACTTTTAAGGGAGTTTCCAATGCTTCTGTCATTCGGGAAGATTTTTTTTTACAATAAATTGGCAGTTCACGAGGGAGGCGGCTTATCGTGGGCGTTTAAAAATAACAAATCACACAGCCTCCAGGGCTCCAGAGCACCCATGTCGCATCACTTGAAAAAAGCCACACAACACAGAAAAAATCAACTAAAAAAGCAAGTCGCAGGACTTCTTTCAGATCAAACAAGGAGTTTCATTTCGTATTCCACTCTCCCTCAGCACACGAAATCACAGAAAGAAAGAGTAAGATTTCTTCACAGTCACACTGAGGTAAGTTGACTGGCAATGAATCGACACAATATAAGAATACTGAGTCTATTCACAAAGCACACTGTCGCACACAATAAACAGAGAGCTCCGCACAGTTCGGAGGTTCGAGGTAGAATGGGGCTTGGCGTACCCCTCGTCACACAAGATGGCCGGTCGTTGGCGCGCGGGCCGTTGCGCCGGCGTGCCCTGATTGGGTAGGAGATCTGAACGAAGCTCGATTCGAGTACGCGTTTGTACAAGTCGCGCGGGACTAATGGCCGCTGGCCGTTACTAAAGAATTATATAAAAACGAAATACCATCTCACACCAGTGCTGGTCGGCGGCCGCGAAAGTCCTCTACCGAGTCATCAGCCCCGGCGTCCATCAAAAGTCCAACCACTCTCGGGAACCGTTCCTTGGCAGCCAAATGCAACGCAGTGAGACGGAATTTCGCAGTCTGCGCATTCAACATCCCTCGTCCAACAACGTCAGCCTCTCGCAACAAAAATGCCACGCTGTCCACTTGACCCGCTTGACAAGCAGCGTGCAACACACTTTGTCCCAGAGCGTCTCTTGCATCCAGATCACCGCCGGCCGAGACCAGGAGTCGGGCAACGTCCACGTGTCCGCCTCGCAGAGCGTCGAAAACAGGAGGCGTCCCTGAAGAGTCTTTCGCGTTCACGGCCGCCGCGTTGGCGGTGCCGCCGCCGCTGCTGCTGCTGGATGTGGATAAGAGTCGGCGGACGACCTCTAGGTGCCCGGCCATGGCGGCCGAGTGCAACGGGGTTCGACCCGTGTTCCCCCTGGTGTCCCATATTTCGGGGTATCTGGAGGTAGATGAATGAGAAGTACGCAATTACAGTATTATAATAGAATGGGGAAGGTACCATCCGGTGGTGCCGTACTGTACTTTGCAGTCCCTTCAACACTATTCCTTGATCAATTATTTTTTTTTTAAAGAAGGTACAGTACCAGCAAATTCGCTGTGTGAGTCATCTTTTTCCCCTATGCGGAGTTTTCGTTGTGTGGGCCATTCGTAAAACGACTATGCGAGGACTCACTGCATTGTACCGCCCAAGCAAAGATTTTCCTATGCAAATACTGTACTGTATATGATACGGTATATAATTTCAAGATGCTCGCCAATTTTTGCGCATCAAAATCGATAATAAATGTCATATTCCACTAATGCCACCACAAATTCTATCAAACCCACACAAAGGTAAGCTCATATGAACGAAAAGAAATACAAGCGACACCTATGTGATAGAAACTAAGTATTTTGGCTCCGGTCACGACGGGTTTACACTTCACAGGATTTATCAAGACGAAAAAAACGGTTGTTCTCTCAAGTCTGGTTTCCTGAGTTCATTACCATCGTTCAAAACTAAGCCCTTTCATTTCAACACAGCAATGCGAGTATAATTTATGAATCAACACTTGACGAGAATACAGTGCGAGCGTTTAGCCTGCATTTCGTAACTTTCACTTTCAGTGGCGTTAACGCGAATAAATTATAATTCTTTCAAGATTATTTTCACACACGTTTGGGCGGCGCCAACGAGGATTGTTCGGCAAGACGAAATACGGCAGGTTTATCATACTTTTGAATTCACCCGACACGATAAATTAATGACATGCATGTCAGATAAATAATGGACAGAATGCAGAGATGGAACGTATTCGCGACGGCTGCACGAGTCGATGAATATCCCAGCGAAGACCGCAGGGCTTTTCAATCTTCCTCTGAATTGTAACGTATCAGATAACAGTAATTATAAGTTTAATCAGAGCTCGCAATAGTCACAACACTTCTTTTACCCGATAGCAAATCAAGTTAAGTTACCCCTTGTTACAGCATGATTTTCCTCGTGGCATCCGCAATACAAAAAGAAAACCAAGGCACAATTCCCCGTCCTTTCCGAAATTGAAAGGGCTACACCATGTATGCATAGTTCACTTTTTTTTTAAACTCCATCTTCCAATTAGAACCCATCCGTTTAACGGGAAGGTTTTTCATATTAAATAATATATTCACGGCAATAGTGATTCAATGAAGAATTCGTGAAGGAAATTTGTTCGTGATTTCGAAAGAATTACGGTAGTCATTCTATACTGATTCACCAGGTTCGATTAAGAGACTTCTTAGGGGCCGGTCATTCTACATTCACGGGACTTCCGCGTAGAATGAATCAAGTCCATTAACCGAAGCAACGCCGTGTACAGAGGGTTTTGCGTATCTCTCAAAATTTCTGTGATACGTTATTTTTGGACCACGGACCAGAAGGGGTTTCAGATTACTGGCCACACACAACCAACAATAGGAAAAAAAGGAGAGTTCATTTCACTTGTCTTCAAAAAAAGAAGCGCAGTTTCATGTATGATGTCGGAAAAGGGACACAATGGGGCCAAACTCACTTGTCAAGCAGGAAGGAAACAACGTCCAGGTTCCCGGAACGACAAGCCACGTGGAAACAAGTCCAACCGTCCTTGTTTCTCAGCCAAACATCAGCACCAGCTTCATTCACCAAGAACCGAACAATTGCTCTATGCCCCGGAGACGTTTTCGCGCATGCGAGCATCACCGGAGTCCACTCATTTCGCTTGAGGCAATTCACTTCCGCACCGCGCGACACCAGGAATTCGGCACAGTCTACGTGTCCGTACTGGGCACAGATGTGCAACAACGTTTTCCCGTCCTTGTCTTGGTGATCGAGATGATGACGCCATTGGATTTCATCATCGTCGCAAGTAGAATTTAACTGGTTCGCCAATTGGCGAACGTCGCCGATTTCAGCGAGACGATGAAAATCCATTCACTTTTTTTTTCTAAGAGGAAGAAAAAAAAATTAAACGCAACGGACTTTTTCTTATAATTTTCGCCGTAAAAAAGGAAAATATCAGGACACCCTTCATTCATATCAGATGTAGGGTGCCCAAAACATGATCGGGACTATAAATTCAAATGACAAAAAAATACTTCGATAGCTGCTGGATTTCATCATTGCAGCTAAAATTCAACTGGTTTGGCAATTGGCGAACGTTGATAATTTCAGCGAGACGATAAAAATGCATCCACTTTTTTTTTCTTCATTGAGGGATGAAAGGAAAATAAACCCCAAGGGATTTTTAAATTTCACCTAAAAAAAAGAGAAGATTGTGATCCGAAATCGAATTCAGGGTGTCCCGAATTAATACTCTGGGAGGATATAAATTCACTCGACAAAAAGTTTCGATTGATAGCCTTTGGGGCACATCGTCGCAAGTAGAATTCAACTTGTGTGCCGATAGGCGAACGTCGCCGATTTCAGCGAGACCATGAAAATCCGTCCACCGTTTTTTTCAATTCTTTCATGAGGAAGAAAAGAGCATAAGCGCAACAGATTTTTCAATTCCACCTCAAAAAATGGAAAAGATTACGATTCATATCAAATTATCCAACAACCACCTCGACACAAAAAATGCGACTTACGATGCCATCCAAGTTTCAAAATTTCAATAATTGATATATGAAAATGAAAACCTTCAACTGTCTTCACAATTTTGATAGTTACTTATTCTCAATAAAACATACATTGGAACTTGGTCCTCTTTCATAAATAAGTTAGCAGACTCATCAGAACTTCTTCTTTGTTGCCAAAAAATGAAGGCTTCAAGGAGTATAAAACATTCATTTCAACAGACAACAGTGCCTAAAAATGTACAAGCATGCTACTCAGTCCTGTTTCAAATGCAAGCATTGCCAAGGTACAGTGGTACAGAATAACAATTTCTGCATCCATGGGAAAAAGAAAAAAGAGCCAATTTGGGTCAGGTTGTGCAGTTCTCATTTTATACTTCCACACTGAAAAGTCATGGAAATTGCAACATTGGCTAGCTACTCTAGTCCAGTATATTTGTTAATGTAGTACAGTTAAATTTCAAGTTCAAAATGAATCAAGATACATTATCTCTGGTTTCAAAGCATGAAACACTGATTATTTGTTGAAGAATACCCAGCAAAAAATTTCGGTGTTGGAAGCTGGGGTGCTGGCAATAGTTAGTTACACATGTAGTCATTCTCTAGTTTTCAGCAACTCCCTGAAAAACCTCCAACTCCCAAAGCATAGGAGTTAGGATCAAGCTAAATATGAAGTAGGTATCAACCAGTTGACACTCAACTCCGGAAATCATGGAGATGTGCCCATCTATGTTTCAACTAGTGTTCCAGGTAGTTGTTGTCAACTTGTGTGAGCGGTAGTTGTTTGGGTGTTAGCTGCAACTGGCTGTCAGCTAGTAACTTGGGAGCTGCCATTGTTGGGGTGGCGCAGGAGTTGTTTGGGTGTTGGCTGCAACTAGCTGTTAGGTAGCAACTTGGGAGCTGCCAGTGTTGGGGCCAATGGCATGTGGCACAGGAGTTGTTAGATGTTAGCTTCAGCTGGCTGTTAGCTAGCAGCTTGGGAGCTGCAGGTATTTGGGGCAATTGCATGTGGAGCAGGAGCCAAAAAAATATATACAAAATTAGAACTAACCATAGAATTAAGCAATGAACTAGAATTTTTTAGATTTTGTAATCAAGAGACTAATCAATATGCTTCATTGTTTCATATATTACTGACAGTGCAGAAAGTGCACAGTTATTATAGAGAAACATTTACAAAATTTTGAAAAGTTCTAGTTTTTGCTTAAACATTTTTCAATTTTTTAGATTGTGAACAAGGAACATGACAAATTTAAAAAATGAAACAGTGGCAGACATTTTCCCTCAGAACAATTCAGGGATTAACATCCCTCCTTAAACACAAAAGAGAATATCATTTCATGCCCAAAGAGCACTTAAGAAACAGTAATTACATCAGCTAAAATTGTATAGCTTTCAAATTCTTTGACTCTGCCATTCTGCTGCTCATTGGCAGCCCAAGTGTCTCATGGGCTACTCATCAGCAGCCCAAATCAACATTGGCTAAAAACTTTAGCAACATTGGCTATAATTTTCAACATTGGCTAAAAACTTCAGCTACATTGGCTATATTTTTCAACATAGGCTAAAACTTCAAGATGCAGCTTCAACATGAAAATTCAGGAAAATCTCTATGCCTCTAATCCCTTTTGAAAATTTAAAGTTTGGTGAAGGAGATTTTGTATCAATTTTCAGATTTGAAAAAAACTTGAATTTTGGAAGAATCAATTTACCTCTGTCAATTTGAATTTTTTAAGGTTTAAAAAATGGGAAGTGTAGAAAACTTTATGGTGCTTCCAATGCAGTTGAACATTTTATTTTCAGGGCATAATTACCCTTTTGGTAAATATTAAGAGATGACAAATTGGGAAGAAAAATGGAAACAAGAATTCAAACTATTCAGTTTAGCTCATTCTAATTTTTTTACTTGTGATGAAACTTCAAAATTATTCACAGGGAATCATGCAAAGTGATGTTTTACAAATTTGATCTTTTTTCATTGAAAAATGTTGCTAACTGAAGGAGGGAAAATTCAAAAAGTAAAAACATTTTTGGTGATTTTTGTACAATTTTCAAAAATATTTTTACATGTTTGGTTGTAATTCTGTCAAATTTTCAGCTTTTTGCATGTTTAAATGAAGTAAAATTAGAAAACATCTTGGGACATGCACCACTGTAAAAAATTTTAAAATTGGTGGAAAATTCACTTTTTGACAAATGCTCAAAGTCATAAAAACAGACTGCAGTCTGTAAGCTGGTTTATGGTCCTTCAGCCTGTGCAACTCCCCCAAAACAGGCCAGGTCCATAAACCAAAAATTCATAACCCAGTACATCCATAAACCGGGGTATGAATGTAGTGAGTCATAGCATTGTTTGTCCTTGAAGAGAATTTGAGAAGACTTAGAGGTTTTCAAAAAGTTTCCTAATGCATGGGCAGGAAAGATGTCTATATGTGTAGGAACCAAAGTGCTCAAGAGCATGAAGTGCAAGGTAGCTCAGCAGGCAGGATGCCAGACACCAATGCAAGAGTACAGAGGTTAGAATCCCCCCTGTGGCAACATTTCACAGTGCATGCATAAAAACACAGCCACACACACACACACACACACATACACACAGTATACTATACCTATCTCACAAACACACTTCCCAGCACGCAATACAAAACACACAGCAAAGCTTCTCTCACAAAAACTCTCAGAACAGCTACTCCTTCATGCCAGCAATTCTTATTGGAAATATTTTTGGAAATATTATTGGGAAGCCAATATATAATTGGACAATTAATATTTGCCAATTATATATTGGCTTCCCACACCAGTTGATGTACTATGGTGGGAGCAGTCAATGCCTGCCTCTAGAGGCAAGCATCAACTGCCCCCACCAGCACATCAACTGGTGGGGGAGGCCAATACAAGCATCAGCTTGCCTCTAGAGGCAAGCCAATGCTTGTATAGGCTTCCCAACGGCCCCACCAGTACATCAACTGCCCCCACATTGGCTTGCCTCTAGAGGCAAGTCAATGCTTGTATAGGCTTCTCAACTGTCAATGTGGCAGCCTCTAGGCTGTGGCTTGCCTCTAGGCAAGCCCCCATCAGTACATTGACTGGTGGGGGCAGTTGATGCTTGCCTCTAGGGGCAGTCAATGTGTGCCTCTAGAGGCAAGCATCAACTTCTATGTCAATATTGTGTTGTTTATAAACCATATACTCATCCTATATCAGTGTAGTAAGCCGATTTTAAGGGAGGTAGCTGCATCTGCAGAGAATTTGATTTCTCTGGTTAGCTGGCAGGTAATAGGTACAACTCCTCACATGGTGGCTATTTATCTAGTTGAAATCAACACCTAAGCTATGGGTGCAGGGAGGGGGGTCTGGATGCAGATGCACAGGAGTTTGGTGGGCGCTGCAATAGACTGGTACCCGACTCCCACAGGGAGCTGCATTTTGTTGCATCAGGAGTTGGGGCCAACACCTAACGCTGGCGCACTGGCAATGCGCTGGCAACTAGCCACGCAGCTCCCAAATTTTTTGCTGGGTAACCAAGAGCCAGACAATATTTCTTTGAATTTTCAAATTATTCAATGCTCTAGAAAATCAGCAATTGGAAAGCACATTCATCAATCAGCTGCTGTAGATCCATTGAAAGTTGAGAATAAAATAAAATACAATTCCAGCAGGCAGGAATTCAAGCTCAGGGTCACACTGAAGAGAGAACTAAAGCAGACAATATCCCAGGGAAAAACAGGCTCCAAAAACAAGTCTGAGGAACCCTCCTCATCACATGTATGCCATTCAAACCAGAAGGTCATTGTATTAATTAAATCAGTAACAGAAATGTTTATTTTTTCATCCCACCTAAGAATTATTACTGCATTCACTTTACAACTTTTGGAAGAGGCTCCCAAGGTATCCCATTGCATCCATGTACAGTACAGTTGAACCTCTTTAGGTCTAATACCTTATAAGTTTTTTTTCCCTGTCTGAATTCCTTTAGAAACAATGCATTAAAAACCTCCTCAACTCAAAGGCTTCCCTGGTCAAACCTTCATAACTCAAATTTTCTGGGGGTCTTTGGGATGTCATTTCATTTACACAGGGAAAATGAGAGCAATGAAAATTTAATGATGTACAGTGAAACCCTGGTTCACAAACTCAATTTGTTCCACAAACTGGTTTGTTAACTGGTCAGTCCATTGACCAAAATGTGATCTGCCATGGACTTACATGTTGAAATTTTTAATTTGTTCCAAAATTTTGAAATTTGGTGGACAAAATTGAAAAAAAAAGAAAACACTGAAATTCTGTGACCTCACAACACCTGCACTTCATGTTCTGTCAATACATGAAACAATACATCACAGTTCTCATGTCAGTTAATTACAAAATCATTACAAAAAACTCAGTCAGAGTCACTTTCATCATCAATTGCCCTCTTTTTGACACCAGATGCCCCAGCTTGACCACCTGATGGTCCAGCTTGGACACCTGATGGCCCAGCTTTTTCAGGAGAGAAGAATCTGTAAATTGTTGTCTGCTTTTCTTTGCTCTTGAGGAGATCATGGAAATACCTGCCACAAACAGATTCCACAACATCCACAGCCTGATGAGCCTCAACCTTGTTGGGATGGTGTTGTATGAAGAAGTCTTGGACTTCTTTCCATTTTCCTAGAATGTCCCTGATGGCTGCTGATTTGATGCTGCACTTCTCATCAGATATTACTCTGAAAAAATGCAGACAAAGAGAGATTGTAAGACCATGCAATCATTTCCCCTACTCCTTTCACAATTTATTAAATGAAGAACAATAAAGAATTAGAGGGCAAACTCACTGCTGTGGTTTAGTCAACTCTCTCTGTTTTGCATCCTCTGCTTTTTCAGCTGCCATTTCCCTCAGCTCCTCCACACTTGGGTCTTCTGTGTCCTCCAGGACAAGTCCTTCATCTATCACATCTTGGAGTGTGTGACAAAACTTTGCTGCCTCCTGCTGGTCAGCACTCCCTCCTTCTCCTGTCATCTTCACATTCTTGATCCCAGTCCTTCTTTGAAATCTGTGCAACCAGCCATGGCTAGCTGTACAACATACAAAGAATTTCATTACCATCCAGCTGAATAGAAACTACACTGGAGAAGTTTACCTGTGAAGCTACTGTTATCAGCTGTGCTGAATTGCTCTAACTTTTCCTTGCCCCCCATCCTGCTCATTAATGTGGGATGGCTGTTTGCCAGAGCACAACCTTGTTTCTGTCTTGCTACCTCAATTAATGATTGCTTCAGGCAGTCCACTGCTGTATAATTAACTCCTGGTGAAACTGTGGTACAACATCACTTTTCCATCTGTCCTTTCTTTTGTTTGGCTTAACTTTAACATCTGAGCAATGACCTTTTAGTGTCTGGCTCCCATAGTTAATAAAAGGCCCTACCAGCATATAATATCCTCAGTGGTTGAGGCCCTCTGATAAGGAGCAGAGTCCGTAGTAGGAATTGTATATGTACGCGCATGTTGGGGTTATAATAAAATACTTGTAAAGTCATCTTACTTGTGTTTCAATCACTAAAAATACCTAAGTACATACAGTACTTGGTCTGGGACGTGCCTGGTAAGAAGGGAGCAAATTAACTATGTAATTAATAAATTGACACTCATTCTGGTCATCCTCTTAAACGTTGATAATTTCCAGGGTTCAGCCTGTGCATTGCAAAACCATGAGTGTACAACAACACTACTGTTAAAGTATATTACAAACTTTACTAACCTTTGAAACCTTTGTTCTCTTCTTCATGGCCATCTTCTTCCTCTTCATTTGCAACAGCTTCTCCATCAGGATACTCCTTGATGAGTTCTTCATAGATATTCCTGGCCTTCCTGCAGATGTGCTCTCCAGACACAGGATCACCTCTCATCTGCATGTCTTCAATCCAAATGAGGAGAAGCTTCTCAAGTTCATCCAGCACTGGGTGCCTTTGGGTTTTGCTGGGGATTCTGCTTGCACCCTTTGCAGCAGTCTCACAAGCACCCAAGATCTTTTCCCTGGTAGACCACATGGTGTTGATGCTTGATTTGTTCAGCCCATATTCCTTGGCCAAATCTACTTGTCTTTCACCACCAAGGAGCCTCTGAATGATAACTTTCTTCTCTTCAAGAGTGAAGAGCTTTCTTTTTTTGCCACTTGAGTTTGGCATATTGTAGGCACTTTTTGCACTTTTCATTAACTTTTTTCAGATCTGAAGCAAAAGAAATCAAGCCAGATAAATTACAACTGAAACACACAATACAAATGAATGTGTACCCAAACAGATGGAATAAAAGTAAGTAACCAACACAAACACACAATCCCAGCAGTGGAAAGCACTGTTCTGTGACAGAACAAGTGAAAAACACAACACAAACACTCAGCTGAAGCTTTATAATGCACATTTTTGTGCCAAAGAAGAATTGGGAAGAGGAGGTGTAGTGAACACTGCACACGCAACAGCCCAACTGCAGTTTCTTAACCAAATGATGGTCTGTTAACCAGACCACTCTCCCCAAAATGGATCCGGTTTGTTAACCAAAAATCTATTAACCAGTCAGTTTGTTAACTGGGGTTTGACTGTATTTTGAAAAGAAGTAAGACTAAATGGGCAATTGAATCTACACCTCCAACTTCAGCATCCTCTCACCTCATGCAAATGGCAATTTAAGACTCAGTATGTCACCAAACAAAATTACCTGTATTTCTTTCCCTTCCCCAATCAAGAATGCTTCCTTCCCTCAACTCGAATTCTTCCACCGGTCCCTTTCGAAGTTCAACTGTGTACGTACTGTATATCGACATTCATTTGAAAGCCGAATGAAAGTAGCAGGCAAGAATCCCACGCAGAATGGAAATCTTGAAATCATTTAACGACAGCACCACCACCACCATGACCTGCGCCATTCTTATCCGCTCCCGCGATAATTATTCAACTCATGGATCCTCCCCAAGATGACAGGAGCTCCGACGTGATCCAACGCCTCCCATCCCTCGCCGCCATTCTCCGGACTGACGAAAAACTCCAAGAGCCCCACCAGCCACCTCACAGAGCTTCAGTGCAAGCCGCCGTTCAGACCGAGGAGCCAACAACCCTCGACGATGCCCCGGATCCCACAACAACACAAGACGACACAGCTTTGGAGAATGGACTGTCGAAAGGCGCCATTGTTTACCTCGCAACTGTTTACTCGTGCGTCGCAGTCACGGTTGCCAGTGCGACACTCGGCGTGCTCGCGGACGACTCATCCGGGGAAGATGAGAAGAACGAGATCAATGCACAAGGATCGACCGTGTTTGGACTCGTGCTGCTCATGATGATTTACGTGCTGAAGCCGACAACGGTGCTGTTGCCCGTCCGGATTTCGCTTCTGGCACTCTTTGCGTACTTGGAGGGAAAGACGTTGAAGGACGGGTTGGAATTGGGGACGATGAATGACACCGAGTTTCTCGCCGCGTCTTTAGCAGGTTATAAATTGCACACTTGGTGAAATCAAGGCGGGTTCTATATGTTTTTAACGCGAAAAGAATGCTTCGACACGAAATAATTACAAAATTAACCCATTTGACTCATCACTACAGCAAACTAAACGCCCTACAGAAACTAAAACCTACAGAAAAAGAAAATAGATTTCATAATTCATCACTAACTTGACCCAACTTCATACCTGTAATAGTCCGACCAAAATAAAACTTAAATCATACGAAACCATTAAATGAGTCGAAGTCAAACAATTTTCAAGATGCGTTCTTTAACTTGACCCGATCGTAATAGCCTGACCCAACTGGATTTGATTATTTTTGTGAAACCGTATTCAATTGAGTAGCTTTTCTCAAAATTGAGAAAAAAAAAGTGGTGCTTGTCATCGATGCATAAATATTTTCAACAAGTTTTATTAGTTTAGGTGTGCATTATACAGAATCTGATTCAAAAAGGGACATTTTGGACCGATTTCAACAGAAAAACTTACTTCAGTGGAAATAATCGTTGAATACATGTGTAAATTCAAATTTAGATGTCCTTTCTTTGAAATATTGCACTTTTTGAGTCGCTGAGAATGGGGCCCCCGTCTTATTCAGGGACACGATAAAAAAAAAGTTGATTAAAAATCCTCGAAGTGCGTCTTAATCCTGGGAGCGTGGTGCTTGAGGAAATACCGTAGAATAGTTTAGTTAGTGCATGATTAGTTTGATTGCCTTTGCATTACAGTATTTGTACATCAAATACTGTACCACATTTATTCGAGTATTAATTGCACTTTTTGGAGGAATATACTGTAAGCAATAGGGAATATGTCACATACAGATTACACTAAAAAATAGAAATTTCAGAAGTTCAGGCGCAATCATTCAATCAGGAAAGTTTGCCCATTCTAAAAATAAAAAATTTTACAATTGAGAAAGTTTTCAATTCAAACATCTGACACTTCACTTACAAAATACTGTTCTGCAATTTTACAGTGACTAAATACTGTATGGGATCTTCCTTGCGGATGCGTTTTCATCCAAATTTTAAACTGAAACATTCGGATGCATGTCTTACTGGAGGGCAATTGGTACTTGAGTAAATAAGGTAAGTTAAAAAACTTGAGATTACAATAATTGTTGGGTAGGAATTTCAGTAAGCAAATAGGAAGCGGGATGCAGTCAGTGAAATGTTCTAGGCGGGATTGAAGTTCTTCTTGAACATTACATGTTGGGAGTTTTGGTCTCATCGATGCACTGTATCCAACCATGAGTGACCCAAAAAGCGGCAGGAGAAATGTACTAATCAAAAATGTACTTACCGAATCCGAATGCACCGGGGAATAAATCAACCATTCCGCAGAATTTCACACCACTCGATCACAAAACTTATTCGAGAAGATTCCAGTTGGAACGGAAAAAGTCTGCTGGTCCCGGAATCACACTGAAACTTCACTCACTCGCCGCACCAAAACTAAATTGAACACAGTGGAAAATTAATTGCACACCTCTGTAGATGACAACAATCTCCTCATACTGTCGTAAAAAGTTAAAATTAATATACTATAAGAGGTTTCACGTCCTTGATCACGAATCGAAGAAATCGCAGTCGCCGGTTCCGATACGCAGATATTCACATCACTCACTCACAAGCTTCCCACTGAGACTGGGACCAAAAACACGCAAGACTTCACTTTTCCTAAAAACGTGCGAGAGGACTTTCGACGAATGACTTACTCCAAATTCCATATCACAACGTCTGAACTGCACTCATTTTTCAGGATCTACAGTGGTATTCGGCGGGGTGTCCCTGGCGGCTCTCGCACACTCTCCGAATCCGGATTCAGACACTACTGGAATCCCAGCGGCAGCACTAATCCGTAAACTATCCTACATCGCCATAGTCCTCTTATCCGCGACGCTTCTCGAGTCCTCTATCCCGGGTTTCATCGGGCAATGGGTCTTCGGAGCTGCTCCGTACATCAGCCTCGTCATTTCGAGCTCCTTCGTGTTGGTCGATACACAGATGCTGATAGTACGCGCAGTCACGTTCTCGGCCAAGGACCCCGTCAAAGACGCCATCATGATTTTCCTCGACAGCGTCGACGTGTTTCGAAAAACAGCCACTGTTTGCAAGCGGCGGATGCTGAACGCACGTGCTGCTCAGGCCTTCGTTTCTCCGTACAATGTGTTCTCTTGGCTCTGGCGTAAAAATGCGTGAAATACAATCTCGCGGAAGAAATTCTTCCTTGGGTGCACATAACGCGGGTATTACACGCACTTTTTTTTCCTGAAAAAAAGTTACTTGGAAAGGTTTCGTTAATCAGATCATTCGAGCGTCGGATTATCCGGATTAATTTTTTCCGTCTAGCATTTCCTTCACAGGCTGACACAGCGTAGGAACTCAAAGCTTAATCCTCTCATATGCGAGTTTTATTAGTTTGAAATTTCAAATTTTGGAAATTCTTTTAGAATAATTAATTCAAGATATCTGACGCGTCTTATGAAAAGCTGAAAATCATTCTTTTTGTCAGTTCTCCTTCTCGGTTTGTTCGGTCACACATGAACAGATATCTCTCCATGTTACAGGGGTTTTCCAAATCTCCACAACGAAATTGTTTCTGGTCTCTTGAATTTCGTTCTAGAGTGTTCACCTTCACTCTTACCGTTGTTGACAAAACAGTTTTTCCTCTGCGAGACGAATTTTTTGGTGTAAATACGCATTAAATCTTGTAAGCATAGATTGAAGTATTCGCCCAGATTTCCGAGATGTCAACCAGAAGTTTAAATCTTGAACACATCGTTATCCCCATCAAGTTTTCTGTATTACAGTATATTTCCGTTACAAGACTTAAAACAAAGCGTTTAGGACCTCGAAAAATCTTGAAAAAAAATTTGAAAAAAAACGAAATTTAAATAATGTTGTCGCTACTTGTCAGGGACCGGAAAAAAACAAATTCGTTTCAAGCATGAACGCGTTATGAACAGATTCGCTGTAACGAATTTTTAATGTATTTTAATCCCTTCTGGTTCATCAAATACAATACTTGAAAGCTGTATCGATAACCATCAGAAAATATTGTCGGCGCGGAGAAACTTCGAGGAGAGGAAAAAGGATTTAGTCGATGAGATTTCAAAGAGGACAAATTATTCATGGCAGAAACAAGTTATTCTCGTCATTGAATTTCAAGCAATTCATACTGCTCAGTTTCCACGAAATCCGCCTTGGCATTTCGAACCCGTATTTGACCGAGGCATCTCGTCTTGATCATCCGAATTACCCTCAGTTTCAATTAGTTTTGAAAGTCAAGGTAATGAATGCATTACTTGCAAGCAAATCCAACGCAAATGAAAACAAACGATCAGGAAAGCACCGAGACACCCGGCATAAAACTAATCTCATCATTCCTAACGCACAAAAACACACACAAAATCGAATACAACTTTCCCGACTCGTCAAGTATATCCCAACAGGAATCCCTCCTCGCACGCGAGTTGCACGTCCTTCGTACCGCGCCTCAGCCGCCTTCCGACCGGCTCCAGGTCGTTGTAGCACCGCGAAAACACTCGCTCGACCGCCGCCAGCGCTTCTTCATGCGATACACTCCGCCTCGCATTACGAACGGATTCGTAGGCCTTTTGTTGCACACAAAACGCGTGCTGGGCTTTGACAGCAGGCGCCGCTATCGAACCTTCGAGCATGGCACTCACGTAGCTACAATGCGCGAGGTTGGCAGCCCGGATTTCCGTGCACGCGAGGTGGTCTAAATTCTTGAAATCCAGCTTGTTGACGCAGTAGTCGAACATGTGGACTAGCTCGTGAACAATGGCCCCAGTTACGTAGGAATCCGATCTGCACGTGTTCTGACACACAACAATCTATGGAGAACAAACAAATCAACGTCAAAATACTTTGAGATGAGATAAGGACAAAGCAAAAAATTCATCTCATGGATTTTTGAGTTTGGGAAAACAGCTTTTTTGCTGCAAAAGAAAAATTAAAAATAACAAGAAAGTGAAAATTTTGATCTTCTGGGCCTTGAACTGCTAGAAAAAGCAGTTGAGAAGATGCTGAACTCGGAGACAAGTGAGCATTTGCTCAATCAACACACTCACTTCCTTATTAAAAGCATTATGTTCCAGTCAAACCTCGATAATCAGCCACCATTTGCTTGTGAGCTTCGCGGCGGTTCAATGGGCTTGGCGGTTAAAAGAAAAGTTCGTGGTTTGAGAGGAATTGGTAGTTCATCAAAAAAGCTAAAATAATATGAAAATCAAGTATAAAAGGAAATATAATTTTTATTGCCGTTGTTTCCCGCTGAGGATACGCTTGGCAAGAAAATACCCACATATTTAACGTTCTTTCAGAACAAATGCGGGGATGAAAGAATAAAACGAAAAAGAAATGATCTCCCAACTACTGCGTAAGTAGATACATTCAAAAATTCTTATGAACGGCTCCACAAACTGCGTATAAAAATATCAACCTGGTATTGAACTAAAAATAATTTACAAAATTATTTTAAACCTTTTCTTACTCAAGCAAACCCAAATACAGGAAACCGGTTTATATCTATCCTATCAGCTAAATCAAGATTAGATGAGAAATTTCAAAGCGAGAACATTTTAAATACCTTCTTCCGATTGTCTTACAGAATATTTCTTTAAAAAAAAACACACACACACACGCAATTGAAGGTTCACCTGATTCATTTTCGGGTCATATCCCCCGGTCACAGAGACGTCGCAGTTTTCACACACGATGTGTCGTTTTATGTCGATCGGGCTGAAAAAGCGGGTCATTCCATTTAATCAATAAAACTTTCGAAAACAATCAAGCAAGTCATCAAAAACTCACCATCCACTGCTTCTCAAAGCGTCAAGGAACAAACGAACCAACGGCTGCTTCGTAACCACATCAACAACCCGTTGTTCACACTTCAATTTATCCGACGTATGTTGCCCTCCACCAAAAAGTAACTCCGAGACACTCGGTATAAGAGGCAGGGATTTACCACGACGCTCTGGATACAAGTCATAGCCCCAGTCTTCTTCCTTCTCAGTTTGCTTGGCTGCCATCAGTTCAACTCCAAAATTTCACGATCCCGTCAGTTACGTAAGTCACGCTGGAATTATCCCCCAATGATTTGATCAGGAACTCAAGATTCACTCTGAGAACCTGCGAACCATCTAAAGGCAAACGTCATATTCAAGAGATACCGTTACACACTGAAAGCTAAATAAAAGAAACCCGCAAACTTGGGATAAAAACCACTCGATTTTACAATCGTAGAAAAACAAACAAGACTCAACAGAGGACACCGACCCTGTCACGGGTACAATCACATGATCAAAAATACACTCTGCGCCTCGATCAGGAACCTTTCGAAATTGGCAGCGAACTTGATGCGTTCCGGGTGTTCGTACCTCGGCTCAACGCCGTCAAAAAGCTTCACGAAACTTCGCTCCAATCTTTCGCCTCTTTCCGCATCCTCACCACGGACCTTCTCGACTAAAATCTTCGCCTTCTCTCTGAATTCGTCCTGAAATATTTTTCAATAAAATGAGAAGGATCAATGATTTCAAGAATACGTAGATAATTCATATGCCGTGCCTTTCAACTGGGAACAGGGAACAACCCGACGCCCGCTCCTCAGTTATTTCATTAGGCATAACGAGAAAATTGAATTCGAAGGAAATCATCAAAATTTCGGCCAGGGTAACTCACCAAGTAGGCGCAGATCAAAGCGAACAGGCATGTCCCGAGGTGTACGGTGTTCTCAGACCGAACGGATTCGCTCATTGTCAATTCCAAAATAACCTGGCAAGACCAAGTAAGTACAATAATTAAAATAACCTTTTCCCACGAAACACGTAAGAGAAATTTGGTTCACTCTACTCCTATTACGATAACCGACATCAATAAATCCACTTCATCCCTTATTGGCTTATTAGGACATCGGTGTCGCTTGAATGTTCGCGTTTCCTCGGGTCGCATTAAAGTGAGGTTTGTATAAATTTAAGTTACGCTTGGTTTTATGGGGAAATACTGTTTTTATGCAAGTACCACAAACACGTTTCCCCCAAAAAAATTAAATGAAGGTTTTTGTAATAGTTGGATACGAATTTTTTGGTGAATTTAAAAGAAAAACTACATGTAAGTCAAATGTGGATCAGGCTGCGCAAATGTTCATGAAAAAAATCTCCCCTTTCAAATTTTTTTCCAGAATTTTAGTATCAATGATTGATACGAAACAAAAACAACCCAAATGAATTACATTTTCAAGTGTGCTTAATTTTAGATTTTCAGCCAATGTGGTTTCTTCAAATGTAAATTTTGATAACTGAAAACGGTGGAAATTAAGATGCGCATCTTATCCAGGTATGGGATTTTTTTCGGACATTTAATCAAAAACAAAGGTGAGTGTATTAATTGGAGATAAGTGATTCTCAGGTACCAAGCACAACTGTTTTCTGGAAACATGAGGCAGAAATGTGGGGTCTAGGCGATACGTGGGTTTACATTTTTCAAGAAAGAAAAAATCATGAAACCATATTGGCGCAAGTCAGAAATTAGTCTCTGGAGGAAAATTGATCTAAAATTCTATTGGAAACTGATCTTGATTCTATTATATTTTTTGATTCAATTTTAAGGTCGTTTTGTGAAGAATAATTTTTCAATGAAGAAATTTCACCTTTCAGCCATTAAAAACTGGGTTTTGGTCTTTTTCAGGGGCTCGCTCGGTTTCTGGGCGAATGTCGTGTCAAAGAATCAAGGTGCGATTCTCACTCACGGAAACGTGGCACCAGAGTCAATAAGGAAAATACATTAAAAATCTAAATGGACTTCCGGTAGGTTAATTTGGTCAAAGAGATTCAGGCAAACCTTCCAAAAGCTACACGAAAAAAAAAAGTTAAGCATGAAAGTTAAGAGAAAAAAAAAAACAAATGAGCACTCGACAAACCACAACTCATTTTTCCCTGAATAGGGAGGTAATGGAACATACCTTAACAAAGCCAGAGACCATGCCCTTCAGTGATGAATCAGGTTTTTCATACACGTAGCCAGCTAAAACAGTCGTTGTCTCAAGGCAACTCTTCATAATTTCAGCGTCAAACGCAGTCAGTCCCGTCACTACTACATTGTAGAACATTCCCTGCTTGTCAGGCGTCAGGTTCGCGAACGTTTCCGCGGAGATCACACTGATAAAAGTGAGCAACTGGTAAAAGGCCTTGCATAACCAAGGACACCGCAACAGGTCATGGGTCATCAGCGGCATCAGAATATTCATTCCTTCCAGTGCAACCTGGGCTGCTGTCAAGTTCTGCTGAGGGTCAGGTATGAATCCCGTGTATGGATCTAGGAACACTTTCGGAATGAAATAAAAATTTTCTTTCTCTGAAGAAAGGGTTTTCATGATTACACCCACCAGGACTCAAGTCAATGTATTCCCGTGACAGCAAGCTGTTCAGCAGTTCGATCAACACAGCAACATCATTGAATGCTCCTTCGTCTTCTTCACCCGCAGATTGTCTCGTCCTTTTTCCAACATTACACCTCGCATACGTCGCAATTGTAGACAAACTGAGCCTGTACATGTCTTCGGCCAAATTCTAAAAATAAACAGGAGAAGGAATAAAATCAGAAAGAAGTGATACCCGCCCAAAGTGTCCCCATAAAAAAAAATCTATACTTTAAGTTTACACTGCATTCAACAAAATCGACATCAAATCCGTCGCAAAATTGAACCATCATTCTCGAATAAGGTCATCGTGGGTTCTCCGTTAAAAGAGACACGACCACTCATTCTGGCGTCGAACAACTTTTTTTTATAACATTTCAAGCCGTTTCTTGACGAACAAACGTTGGAAAACCAATAGAACTAGGAGTTCATTGGGAAGTGGATCTTCCAGCTAATATAAGCGAGTCAAAGTTGATTACCATCATGTCCACATTATTTTTCAAAAGTTTGTCCCTCCATGATTTTCTCACAACTCACAGACCTCAATCATAAGTAATGTAACTCGAGTAAAAAATGAAAATTCCAATCACCTTGTTCAAATAGCTGATGAGCGAGGAAACACTGCAATTCATCAATGAAAGAATCCCGTCCACAACTTGCTGGTCATTATTCAGAGTCACGAGAACCCGCTCAACACAAAGCCGCAGGGCAGGGACAACTTGCCGGTAGAGAATGTCCGCTGTGTGAAGCGCTCCTCCGGATACCACTCCTTCAAAAAATAAACGACCCGAAGATAATCGATCAATGATCATGATGAATGAGGCATAGAACTCACCGGCAAAAAGATCGATTATGTACAACAAATGAGCTCGAGCCACTTCGTTGTTCGCCATGGCACTGAGATTTTCATTCGAAAGTATCTCGAACTGTTGAATCATGTACCCGAAAACCTAGAAAAATTAAACGGCGACACAGTATGAAAAGTCAAAGGAAAAAAAGGAAGGGTTTTTTCATAAAAAAAAAAGTCCCTTCAGAAATTTGCTTCCTCGTCACACGCGTGCATTGTAATTAGCTGTTTGAGCTGAAATGAGAGTTCAATTTAAATCTCAACCTAATCTTTTCTACTGTCCTATGCTATCGTATCTTCAATATTTTCGATGAAATGATTTTAATAGTGTATGAACTGCTGCCGTTGGAAATGATTTCGCCAACTTTCGCGCAGGACTTATTTCAAAATCCGGCAAAGACTTATCGCTTGATCATACTTACAGAAAAATAACCACAATATTTTCAGAAAATAAACAGCAAATAGAGCAGATGATGTCAATGTTCAGAGAAGCAACCTTTTTCACCACTTTCTGCTTCTATACGAACAAGCAACAAATAAAAGTTCGTCATACATAAATCACGCACCTTCTTCAAATTCACTTCAACAGTTTCTTCCAGCCCGCCATTCGTTGAAGTTAGAACAAAATAGGTCATTAATGCCCTGACCGTTTCACTCGGCAATTGCCTGAATTGAGGAGAAACCTGCAGTTGAACTAGCGTCCAGAACTCCGGCATTTCGGACATGACCATACTCCTGAAATAAAATAAAACTTATTGAAACGCTGCGAAGATTTTTTCTTCATTTTGAAAAAAAAATGACAAAGTTGATCAGAAACTCACTTGCGTCTGTCCCTCGCAAGAGAAATCAACATCCCGGTGACAAGGGACAAGAGGTCTTTCTCGGCAACCCAGACGTTCAGAGAAGAGCAAGCGTTTTGAAATAAGAATTCTAACGCCCATTTTGCTCCGGGAGAATCCAAACCGAATGCCGTTGAAAATGTCAATGGAAGATCCTGAAAATACAACGGTTTATTCCTCAAATCAATTTCTTCCACATGAAATGTTCCATCAATCCTTCAAGGAGTGCAGTGGATTTAAAAAATATGAACTCACCATGGTATGCGTCGCTTCATTCAAAGCCAAGTAGGCCTTTCCGAACCGATCCAAAAACCAATACGACGTTGAAACCAATTCGGGAGACAAGACGCAAGAACGACCGGCAAGTTCCGCATTGCGCAATATTTCGCTCAACGCCAAACAATCAAAAATGAGTCTAGAGACAGATGAATAAATAAATTGAAAATAAATACATCACACATACAGTACTCTATACATATACGGTAACTAAGAAATCACTCATCGGAGGATTTCCTCCTACTACGTCGTTCGAAGAAAATGGTTGGAAACGGCTGTTCGCCAACAGCAATTACTGAATTAACGAAAAAAATCCAAAATATTTAGGGAACCACAAATTACTGTAATTCATTCTGCAGAGAATACAGCTCTAGATGGGGCTAGAAATGTTCTCTCAAGGTTTTCTACTGGATTTGCGAATGTTCTCTTTATTTTGAATAAAAATGAAGTAAAGTAATGTGAAATAAAATGTTATACATTTTTTTTAAATAATTGCATGCATGCTGAAGCAGGGACCACGATAGAGGGACACAAGTTATGATGCACTCAACAGAACGTGAAGAATGGGAAAATAAATCGTCTTCGGACCTCAATCAGAGAACTTCAGTGTGAAAATCGGTCCCACAAGTCAAGCATATTGAGAAAGTTCGCTGCAATCCTTAAAAAACTATATTCACGTGGAAAATTACGCTTGATTAGTTCATTTTATTTACCACGTTTCGAAGAGAGGAATACTGTAGTGAAACCGATTTTCTCCTAGCAGCCCAGCATATTTCCATCACACTCGCAAACAGAAACAGCGGTACTTTATTTTGCTTGCGATAACGTCACGAAAAAAAATCATTCGATCATAATTTAACTAACCTCACAACAGGATCACTAGTCGCAGAAACTCCAGGACTGCCAGCGACTAAAGATCCGCGGAATTTTTCGGCAAATGGCACGGGAAAAATGGGAGGCGCGTTTTCTTGCTTGGAGAGAGCCATGCTGTAGTCATTGATGTCGGCAGGAACCACTGCTTCCACACTGCCGTCATCAGTCGAATTACACAACACGTGTCCTAAAAAGTCGTTAATTTTAGAATTATATTTTAAACTCACACAGAATACTATGGCAATCAAAATATACTTGAGATAATCTGAACTTTTGAAGAACCAAAATATTCATCAGTCTAAGTTCGCATCTGACAAGCAAATACTGCATATCAATGGAGACGTAATTTTTAATTCATTTTCTATTACAGAAGTACGACTTTCTACAAGGACCGCTCCAGATCTGATGGCAACTCATCTTTGTCGTATTCATTTATAGAACGACAGAACGAGAAGAAAAGTATCTTTTCATTGACAAATACAGTCGGACCTCGCCAATTCAAACCACCTCAAATTTGAATTTCGAAAATTTGCAGCTAATTTCTGGTCAATTCTCTCCTTCCCATAGCATTTGACACCTCCTCAACTCAAAACTTTTCAATAAAAACTAACAGTCAATTTTAAAAACATTTTCGTTGCTCAATTGTGGCTAAATTTCGGAACTGCTCCAAAAAACAAAAAAAGCAGATTCAAATTGTTTCTTCATTCTCTGCACAATGGATTATTGGGCATCTTTCTGCAGTTCCCTACTCGGTTTTCTTGAGTACCTTAAAATTTAACTTTGAGAGGTCTACCTGTACTTCAAGTGTTTGATGATATCGCCTTTAGCATGCAAGAAAATACAACTGAAAGCTCATTCAATCTTTGGACAAGATAAAAAAGGGTCCTTCGTCAATTATTAGAGAAATGCTGAAGTGTGGAGAATGAGCACTGCAATTCGGAAATAAATACCCCTTCTCGGCCCACCCGGCGAAATAGAATTTCCTGACAAAATTCAGAAATGAGTGGAAGTGCGTTTTAGATTTAAAAGTAATTCTTCCTCAATGCAGATGCGAAAAAAAAATCAAGGCTCGTCTTATACTCGAAGAAACGTAATGGTTATTTTGATGAGGCAGAGACGAATAGTCCTCAATAGAAGTTCGTCAAATCCAGTTCTCACCAGCAATCAGTAACAACCAATGGAGATCCTCAAACATGGAAGTCATCTGCGTAGTCACCGGAGGTATCGTTGTTTCCATGCCCAATCCTTCGTCAATACCAGGCCCACACAAAAAGCTTTGCAATGCTGGCAATCGCTCCTCAAAACACGCCACCAATAACGGAATGCAATGCGACGCAAACTGTGATCAAAGAAGAACATCAGCATATAATGAAACTACTCGAAAATTCAGTTTCTAACTCACTCGTCTCCCCATCAGCGCAATGTGACACAATTGCGACCTGTATTTCTCCCTGTCGGGGTCCTCAATCGTACCAAGTTCTTCTTCGTCCCTCTGAAAAATACCGGCATCTTAATTGAAACCAAACCGGACAAATATTGCTCAGGAGTATCGAAAACTGGGCACTGCTGTTAACGAACAAGTTTCGAAATTTCACCAGAATTTTTCATTATTCGCTCTGAAAGGTGGTCGCCTGAATATTTTCTTCGTCGAATCCAAATTATTTAGATAAGTTCAAATTGAGTTGGGTCCGAGTTTCTCAGCCTATAATATGTGATGCCCTAAGCCTAGGAAAAATGCATTTCCTGCCACAAAAATTCAACACGCCTGAACAAATCCAAGAATGGATTTTTTTTTATTCGGGGACCCCACTATACAGTAAAATCCCATGACAACAAAACAGGTCCAGAAAAACGCTTTCTTATAACAAAAAAAGCGTTATACAGAAATATGAATGACAGTGCTTCCATTGGCTGGGGATCTAAAACATAATTTGCTGGTAGCAATAATTTATCATCAGGATATTCGTTGTAACAAGATTCAATGTATATTTGAGTGTCTTGACTACGTAAAATTTGGACGAACAATACCATAAGCCGCTTTCCTTGCGGAGGACCCAAGTGGCAAATCAAGTATTTCTCAAAGATTGGCGTGCACAGACACTCCAAGAAATTCGACTGCTGCATAGAGGGCTCGAGAAGTACAGTCAACCACGCTCCCAATAACGTCTCCATAGTGTCCATGTACTTCGTGTCATCGCCTCCGCTCTGGAAAAACCAAACACATTCACATTAATAATCATGAATATTTCGAGGTAAATCGCCGCGCTGAAGTTGAGAGCATTTCAAAAGAAAATAAAACGAACAATCACAGTTTTCGGCATATGAAACAAATTACACATGCTAGAACATAACAACAACAACAACAAATTCATTTACCGCGTCTTCTTCGCATGCTTTCAGGATCATCACTTGCGTCATCGACGACATTCTCTCGAAAAGGACCACGTAAATTTCTTCCTTCAGCCTCGACAATAACGCAGAAGAGAAGAAAAGCGATAAACGTGTGATGATGCTTGCAAGACTGCGCGCTTCGGTGCTCGTCATCGCCATGGGACTGGGAAGAAAATTTTTTCAAGATTATTAATCTACATTTCCCTCTTTAATACGTTTGATTTTCGCGCACATTTTGCATTCGAATAATTTTTCTTCAGAGCACTGACAACTCGCTTTTCGATTTAATCTGTTACGACGGGAAGTCAATTTTCTAAAATTCCTTCAACCGAGCAACGAGAAGCTACAGTACAGGATATATCTAGTCTCTTCCTAATCTCCAAGCATTTACCTCCTTAAATTCCTTGAAAATTTCACAGGAAACTGGAAATACAGACGTTCAACACTCCAATATAGAATACAATAACAGAAAAAAAGGAAAATAAAAAGCAGGAAAACAATGCTGAACACACGAATATCGAAGTCCTTTGAAAGAAGCCACATTTCCCATAGCAACTTCAATTTTTCAAAAAGACATTTTTCTTACACAGTACAATACTGTAGTCTATGATGACAAGTAAGGTATACAATACATAGCAAAAATCGGTGGAATTCTGCATTTATTTGCGGAAAATCTTTTATTTGAGGCGTTTATTACCCGATACTCGATATTGTAGTATTGTCTTCGACATACTATTACCATATTGAAGCACTTACAGTAATAAACAGGGGATGTGGTTAATTTTTCGGACATTCAAAAAAGATCAGAAGCCATGAAAAATCCTTACAAATTAATTTAAATACTGTACACGGATGGATGTAGAATAAAAATGAAAAAGGTTCGAATACGGCTAATCCGTTTTCTTCGCTCTTGATCAGCTTCCACCAGAATACTGCGAGTAGCATGAAAATCAGACATGGAAGGGATCACTCACTTGGACGAAAGGTAGAGCCAACCTTGAACGAAACACCTCACGAATTCCAGGGAGGCCGGTTCGTCAGTCACAAAAAATCTGTTGAGCGTGGCCAACTGAAGGAGACACGCTGACACCCGATGAATCAATCCGGGATAACGCGGATGCAACCGGTAATAAATCTGGAGAAATAAATCGCTCAATAATAGTACTGTATCCACAAATATACTCATATGTGACTTCAACAAAGCATCCATACTTTCCTTCGAATAAAAACTGGGTCCACAGTTAATTTGAGGTTCAAAGAAAAAAATAGTCTTCAATTGTATAATACATTTCAGAATTTCATACCAAAAATGTACTACTGCAGCTTCAACCTTTCAAAATGAGTTTTCATTGCGCAAAGAACATCGATAGCTTTTTAACTCAGCAAGAAAAATATATTACAATGAATTTTTTGAATGCGTGAAGTTTCCCTTACAAAAGACACATAGTAAACAAAGCTTTCTCCTAAAGATGAAACAAACTCACTGAAAAGAACAGCTGCAAGATGTCGGGCTTCAACACAGAGTCCTTCCAACTAGTCGGAGGTCGGAAAGTGAACGTACTGTCCGTCTCGTAGGCCGACTGAACCTTTCTCGGCAGATTGAAATTCGACACGAATGTCCAAGTTAAAATTGATTCAGCTGATTGAAGGCATGAGTCGTACAAGGATTCTTGGTGCTCGGAATACGGATGCGGCATTCTTTCCAACTCCGTCAACATCTTCAGGGTGAACCGGAACATTTCCAGCAAATCTTGCTGCTCGAAATCTTTCTTGGCAGAAAAATGTGTCGCAAATGGAAGTCCAATATCTGACGATTTCGTCATGACGGCAAATTCTTGCAAGATGGCGCAGATCAATGATGAACCAACTACTTTCTAATTAAAAATAAAACGCCACATGAAAACCGACTGCATGCCAAACAATTATTTTTCAGCAAATCGAGTGAAGATGAAAAATGTGTTTCTATGAGTTCCTGTCAAGCTACTTCCCTTCATTGTCATAATTTATTCAGTACTAAAAGTCTTGCGAATAACCCATGAACCGTAACAGTCACATGATTTGACAACCCATTTCACTAACTTACCGCATACCTGAAAAACTTTTCCGGAACATAGCTCATCTTTCAATTATTCCCGGATGATTGAAACTTTTTACGCATATTAGTGCCCGTGACTTTTTAAATAAAAAGTGCAAAAAATGGAAACTCCTGACGAAAATTTTCCCGATTTTCTGCAAAAAAAGATTAGCACTCGACGAAGAACGGAAGCATTACGAATTCCGGAAGTTCTTTCTGCTACTCACAGAAGGAAAACACAAAGATTCCTCGAATCATTTTTTGGTACAGTATTTCATCAAAATGTTCATCGAAATCGATTAGAAAATGTTTTTTAAAAGAAGAATAATTCTCTGAAAATTCACCATTTCAACCGCCTAAAATGATTGACGACTCGCAAGACTTTTGAAACGTATCTTACACATACGCATAGATCACGAAGTAATGATAAGAAAATAAAAAGCTAACCTCATGTGGTTCTCCATTCGAGACGAGCTTGTAGACGTGTTTCAAAAATACAGTTTTCTTCTCTCCATTGTCATCAATAGCTTCTCGTTTCACCATCAACGCGATTAGCTGTTTTCAGAAAAAAAATTGTGACGAAAACGTTCCGAAACTGATGAGACATCAAGAAGAACTCACTTGGATCAATTTTTCTCTCACAGCAAAAATAATAGCTTCGTGTTGCATTTTGCGTATCACATACTGGAGCAAATACGTCCGGAGCTGCGTGAGCTCTTGAGGAGGCATAACTGACCATTCACGAATAATAGCATCCTTGAGAGTGCTTACCGCTTGGAACACAATCATATGATCTTGGCCACTTTCTGAAAAACCAAAAAATATTCCGAATTAATATCCACCCTTGAACTTCGAATCACATCCAAAAATTTCGTCTTCAAGGACAGGCAAGAGGTATTTTAGCAAATAAGAGGCAGAAGATTCTTCTCCGATACTCCGCACATCCCGAGTCCGTGATTCAAATTTTCTTTACTTTTCGACGGAAAATTCTCAATTTTAAAAGATTCGATTTTATTACATCACGTGCTGAAACAAGCTATAGTCGTATACAGTGGGACCTCGCATTACGAAAGACCCACACTGGAAATTTCGCATTGAGAAATTTGTTAGGCAGAAAAAAAAGAAAAAAATAACGAAAAAGTTTCAAATGAAAAACTTTTCGATATCGAAGCACTAAAATTGTATCAAGTTTCGAATTTATATTGTGATTTTTATAAATGCGTTAATAGGAAATGAGGAAAGAAGGGTAGTTTTTTGTTATATTGTTGTCTTTAAAACTTGTGAAATTTGAAAAGTCAAGAGCGAGATATACAGTAGTCAGAATTACTACAGAGTAGTTCAATTTCTCAACAAACAATTTTGAATTCTTTATTTCATGCTGAAATATTTAAAATTTGTTTTACTGTCGTCTCCTGGTTAGTGTCTGGAAGGAATTCAAAAATTGAATAATGTAACCCGAGAAATGCACTTCGCATTACGAAAATTTCGCATACCGAAATGCACCCTGGAACAAATTCGTTTCGCTATGTGGGGACCCACTGTATGCATAATCTGGTTAAATTGGCTACCTAGTCCAATTCAGAAAAAGAAAACACTTATTCGGCATTCGAAAATACGAGAAGCCGGAGTAGAACAGTAAATGAACAGAATTGGTGCATCTTGTTCAGGATATAAATTGTTTCGTCCATGACATTTACTCACCCAGCAAATATTTGCAGAAGGCATAGGGCTTCTCTAGCCGCCTGAAGGACTTGAAAATTTCTTCAGCTTGTTGAACTTGCACGCGAGGCATTCCAGGGGTCTAAAACATATCAGAATTTTCATTACTGTAACCGAATAATACTCATGGAGACCAAGACTCACCTGTAGAATACGAGACGCATCCTGCAGCTCGGAAACCGTGCTCAGTTGTTTCGGGGTTAAAGAAAAACTCATTTTTAGCAAGAAAAATTACAAGTCCATGACAAATGCTGACGAAAAAAAAAGGTATCATCATTAAGTATTTTTTCGTTTCTTTTTTCACGAATGAAAGGAAAGTACGGTAACATGTTCACAGCATTCATTACTTCTCCTAGTCTATGCATCTTCTGATTCTTCCAAATCATCCAAGTCGAGCTCGTCCAGATTTTCAAAGAGCGATTCGTCAACTTTCACGCCCTCTCCCCCTGGAACAATCAAAATTAGGAATACAGTATTAATAAATTCTGCGTTTCTAAAACAAAACAAAAAAAGACTGAAATACTATACCGAAAGACCGCGAAACAATTTCAACGCTCTATAGAAAAATAAAAATGTGAAACAAACCTTCTTCCAAGAATTTCAAATCCGACTCGTTCATCGTCTTGTCCTGAATGAACAGCTCGCGGCCCGTCAGCTTCTTCGACGACGTGTCTTCTTTCTTCACCTTTTTACTTCGCAGGATTTCCTCATCAAATGCAAGTTTCCATTTCATGAAAGTTTCGACAGTCACACGGGTTCCTTCGAAGCGACGATGCTCCTCTTCTTCGCGTTCTTGTTCTTTTCGCTTTTCCTCCTCTTCGCGGTGATTAATTTTCTGATCACAGCGTTGATTCAGCCATTCGAGGGCAGCTGATGCAAGTGTAAAGATCATCACCATTCCAAGATTATCCTGAGCCTGCGCACACAGATATCACCTCATGAATAGATGAGAATCAGTTGTAGACGAAAAGCTATGAAATCTTTGCTGTGAATGACAAGTCACAGGAAATTTAGTTTTCGAACTCAACATCAACTGCTTTAAAGGGAAGAGTCGAGTTTTAAATCTGCAGCATGACCCACGAAAAAAGGCGTTCTTCCCTTGCGCAACAGAAGCTAAAGGATAACTTCCACATTTTTCATGCTAATTCTCACATATCATCATACATTTAGTAATTTCAAGTGTTTCACAAACATGTCATCACAGGCGAAAAAAACTGCATCATCACCATCTGCAACTTACTGCGCTTCCGAACTTAGAAAAAAAATTCTGAACCATAACCGAAACATTTGAAATATAAAAGAAAAAAATTAATCCCTGGACTTCATTAGTATGAATTCGTGGCTGGAAAAGACACACACGAACTTGAAAACTTCCAGTATGGCATCTTTCCCCCGAAAAAAGCGCAGAAATATCGATGCATCTGCTTCCGGTTTCAAAAAGTTTTGATACGATAATTGCAGTACAGTAATTTTCATCGTACGTGTTATCGTACGCGTCCCGAGAATTTTGATCAAAAATAATGACGCTTTTCGAGCAGATGCATGAAAAATCCTGAAGCAGGTGAAGTGAAGCTTTAGAAAACACCAAAAATCGGGAGGATTCTCACGAAAGAGACATCACCGGAATTTTCAAGGAAATGGTTTGAAGTTCGCAAGACGCTCTCAACAGCTCAACATCAGGTACCGTACATTCCTAATCGATTCTCACTTTAATCTGCTGATGAAGGGCTGCATTTCCGAAAGTTCAAAAATATTAAAAGAACATTTTTGGGCTGTGGGGAGCTCAAAAGGCGTTGAAGAAACTTGTTACTCAATATATTTGAAAACGTTTGCTGAAGACACGCGAGTGATTAACACATCGGCCCGGGGCAAAATTCCTATCGGTCTTCCCAGTGAAAATATGAATAAAACATCACTCGTTGCACAATTTCAAGATCATTAAAATAAAACTCAAAATTACCTGCCCTTCGAGATATTCCATTAGTGAAGATTCTTCGTCTTCACCGACGATAAGACCGTCGAGATTGTCGACAGTCATTTCGGGGGGTTCGTCGGGGTATGTGGGAGTAAACGAAAACCGGAGAGCCACAATAGCACCTTTGCTAGCATCTTCTTCGTCGTAATGCTCGGATTTCAAAGTTATGGAAAACTCTGCCACCGGTTCCCTGGACAAAACTAATCAAACTGGATTCACGCGGATCTGGCACAAAGACACGAGTTTCTAACTTACACTGAAGCTCTTCGCAAAATATCGATTCCAATGCTTCCAATTCTGCGTTCTGCTCTTCGTGGTAGTCAGTCATAACGACAACCGATTTCACCAATAAATATCGTCAACCTGTGGTTAAGGGGACTGCTAGATAGAAGTCTCATTTCCACAAATACACACTGGAACTCACTCCCTTTTTCAGCCTCACAAACAAAGAATGCCACCACATTTACTACATAAGTAAGTTCTTTGAAGTAATTGTTCTTTAAATACTGTCATCAGGAAACGCCTTACGCTCCACAGCGTCACAAATACGCATGCGCTTTCCACTTATCAGTACATGAATAAATTCGGAATTCAATAAGGACACACTCAACGTCGTCTTTAGTTCTTTTCTGACTGAGATAGTACGAGTTTTCCTTCTTAATTCATGCGAAAAACCATAAACTTACCAATGAACAATGAGCATGGTTGGTATAAGTCAAATAACCGGAAGTGACGAAGAGAACTCAAACCTCACAGTTGATTCCAAATCGTGCAATAAATAACACAATAACGTCGCTTGAAAGCTTCTTATAAGAATGAGACAGCTGAAACACGAGTAGAATCTTGAATTTCCGTTAACATACGTATGAAAGTTTTGCTGAAGTACAAATTTATATTTGCAGGCAGTAATCTTGCTTCTTGCGACACGAAGAGTGAGGTTCGTCTCATAATCGTTGACGTTTGAGTGAATACAGTAAATTCGGTGAATTCTTTGTGGTGGTGCCACGGGAGGAAAGTTTCCGACAGGCTCGTGTCAGGATACCGTGACGATAGAATCTCTTTTTTTCCGGAATCGACAGGCGAGACCCACTTCACAATTTCGAATCATGCGCGTGTTCACTCCCGGAATCGACAATAAAATTTGCCTTTCTTTCTTCCGACACAAAATGGCTTCCTCAGCAACTTGCGTGAAGGAATAATGCATTCACGATTTTCGCATCTTTGAGATGACCGAAGCATTCCGATGCGCTTCACTCGATTCGAAAAGCGGCTCAAAATCAGGAACACAGAGAAGCTTTTCTTTCAAGCTTCCGATCACACTCAACTTCCCTCTCCTCTCTTCGTCCCCTTTGTCAATCACACAAATATCCTGACGAAAACCAATACCGCAACCTTTAATCACAGGAAAAACTATGCCACTCGGGAAAACCAATTCCGCCTTCCCAGATTGCCTAACTCTAAAACGGCAGAATAAGCCCTCTGGCAAATCTCGGAGAGTCAACTTGTAGGCGCCGACACTTTGCTCTTCGAATCCACTGGCTGCATCTCCCTCTTGCTGCGGCTTGGCCTCTTCTTCATCAACGGCAGAATTCTTCATTCGCATCATTTTTTCGGATACAGGAATAAAATCCGGAAATTGCATCGTGAATAATTCTTCCGAATCGTCAGCCGGACATAGCACAGAATTAACGAAATTCCTCAAATCACAAGGTTCACGACAAAAAGGATCCACATTCGAAAAGGGTTTTGCGACATCAGGTTTAATATCTTCTTCCGTCGCATGGAATCCGTTCAGACTCGGCGAAGATAACGAAGTCTTCGAATGCAAAATGGGTTTCACTTCTACTTTTCTCACATTCTTCGACGAGAGCGACAAGGTTTTCAGCATTGGCAGCGTCAACGGTGAAATATCATTGTCTTCTTCGTCTTCGTCATACTCCTCAGAAACATATCCTTCCTTAGCTGATGCCTGCAACTCATCTCGTTTCTTCTGTCGCTTGGCTCTCTCTGATTCTGAGAGCGCAACTGTCGTAGATCGTCCAGCACTCCTCGATTCTCCATCTCCGTAAGAGGAGCGGACTTTCTTGTCGAACTGAGTTGACGTATCAAAAACGGATCCAGATGTCTGTATAGTTTCTCTCGGCTTGAACTTCGGCTTCTGAGCATCTGGCTTACGCGATGGCCGATCTTTCTTAGTTACGACAGGAGGAGGTTGCTCAGGTGCAGCCGATTTTTTCGCAACCACTTTCGCCTTCTGTTTCAGTTTCGGCATGAATTTCCTCACCGGTTCTTTCGCTTTCTGCAATAACTGATCCCTTGACACGGCGGCGTCATCGTTCGGACGATCTCGTTTGAAGCTTGGCAGTCGCTGCCGGGGATCGACTCCATTCATCAAATTCGGCAAAACGGGCCTTCGATACGCCGTACCGCCGTTGGTCGACGAATCAGACCGGTTTCCGTCCGCCATGATTTTGGCTCGTGTTCACAGTTAGTTCTTGCACTCGATGCAGACTCACGACCAAGTCACGACAGACGATCGCGAAAAGCGACGCGAAATGACGCGCGAAAAGGCTTCATTCTGCTGCTCAAGCATATAAAATAATTGCTTTAGTTCCCAAAATGGAGGCAAAGATGCAAAGGGTGCATTCCCGGAAAATACTCGCCCACATCTATAGACACTTCAACTTCACTAATGGCCCTACAGGATTCACAACAATTTTAACAATCTGCCTCGGTTTAACCGGAAAAGTTGATTGATCGAATACCAACGCACGGTAAACAAAATACAGAACGCTGCCATGAGAGTTAGACAAGAAAGAACGTAAGAACAATGTCATAGGTGCCGTACATCATGAGCAAGGAATCTGCCGCGTCATACATACGTACAAACCGCACAAGGTACGGTATTACAAAATGGTTTGGAATTATTCAATACAGTTTTGATATTGCTAATGTATGCAGCTAGCTGTACAATTTGAAGATTCGAGGGGAAAGAAAAATGTCTTTCAACTTTTCAAGTCAAAGAGAAATGCAAAAAGTGAACGTTCACCGAAAACTCGAGTGGGCAACTATTTACGGTTTTACGCGAACCATTTCTTGATACCCCGATTCAAGCATGAATAAATTCGTTAAAAATAAAGAACCAAATTTTACAAATACCAGACCAGCATATGATGACCATTTGCCTCTATTTTTGTGGCAATGGCATAATAACCCAATTAAAGACCCCATAAATCAAAATGGAACTTCTGAAACTTCTGTAATACATTACTGTAAATCCTCATTGTGGAATATCTCAACCAAAAATCCTTCTCCAATTTCATTATTCAAAATTAGTCATGTCTCACAAAGAAAATTTGCATAGCCATGCAATATACATTTCAGGATCAAATTTTGTACTTCCGACTGACGAGAAAAGGTGAGCAAATTATTTGCTACTTGTAAATGATTAGCGTAGTAATTTGATTTCGTATCTGGAATTATCATCCAACAATTAAAAAGAGGAGAACTATTGAAAGTTTTGAAATTTAGATGATATAACTAGACCTTATGACTCAACGGCAGCAAGCAACGTCTTCTTTGCAGATGAACACTCATTCTGGAAAGACCAAAAGAAAATTATTTCAGGACGTACGAGAAGCATAACCCCACGACTTTTCCGAAACGTCGACATTTAGCACACATCAAGTAATAGGACTGATGACTATGCGACATGGAAAAAAAATTATCAGTTCATCTAACCTATCGATGCCCAATAATAAACTCAAAAGAGAAGCTTCGAGAAATCTCATTTTTTGAGGAATCTGACCGTATCCTCTTTTAACCTGCATCGGTGCAATTCCACGCATTATTAGGCAGCATAATCACAATAATATGACCGATGTGAATAAAAGCAATCCATCAGATATCACTAACCATCAAAAAGGATCCATGCATCATAAATCAATTCACCGGGATTTTTGATGCACAATCTCAACGAATCCTTCTTCTGAGCATTTAATCGTTCCGGCAGCTTTTAGCATGCATTAAATTGCAAAAATATAGGGTGGGTTCGAGGTGAAGCACCAAAAGCAGTACAGCATAATATTCATCATGCAGTATTTCTACAACCGACCAGTCAGCAAAATCGGCCTGCGCGGGACTGAAAATTGCGAAGGGCATTTCAAAAGTTGTAGAAGCTATAATACCACGAACACCGCATCCTTCCGAAATCATGAAATACGGTAGATTATTTAATCGCAGCAACATGCCTCAATCGAACTCATTCTGCGGTTCATCGAAGTCCTGCTGCAATGAGAAGAAAACAGAGCAGAGCATACATGTAAATAACTAATTTCATATGTTAAGCATCCATTGAAAATACTTTATACGGTGATTGTGGAGCAAGGTTTTGTGAACAAAAAATCGCATGTGAAACCCTTCAGCATACCTAATATAAATTAAAGATAGGCTTTGATGTGAATGCTGGAACGACTTCAACGCGGATATACACACCAAAATACATCTGTATATAATTAATTAATTTGACTATATATAAGGTATGAAGACTACGATGCCCACAGTTCGTAACATTTCAGAGGTACCCATTCATAAATGTAAGATTGTATGCATAAGCACACAACAACGATTCAACATTCCTTTTTTTTAAATGAGCTGCCATACTCCGTGAACTTTGAAATAAACCTAGCCGGCTCTGAACGGCGTAATCCTAATACTGTATATATCACATGCGATCCAGCAGTCGCATATTACAGTTTTGTCAGTTCGAGACCTGCTTTCTAACAACGGCGTGCACCAAAATACGATCACAATTAACGGAAATATGCAAACTTTGACAACAAATCTTCCGTGAGATCAGTAGTGTGTTTCCGATATACCCGACACTTCACAATCGCGTCATGGGAATAACGTCACCATTTTTTTTCCTTTGCGTCATTCACCTCGTCATCTTCTTGAAAAGCGCATCTTCCATCCATCTCGGGAGCCCGAACAGAATCACTAAAGGTCAGTAATTATTACACAACTGTGTTGATGAATTCTATTGAACCTGAACTTCATCCTGCTGCCTCATTCCCGCGGCATTCGGCACATGCGAAGAGGTCGACCAAGAGCAGTTCAATAGCACTGACGAAGAATACTACTATAATGTGGCTAAACTTCTAGCGGAATTGAGTCAACGTAATCATATTGTCAGGTGATGTGGATCTCGATAGCAGGAAAAAATATTCTGTTTTGTCATTAATGCCGTATTTTACTTTCAAAACCTCTGCAGAAAGCAGGAAATAACTCATGACAGTGACTCCGTACAAAGAACACCTCTGGTCTCTGAGGAGTTAGTTCTTGATTACAACCACGATGAATCAGAGGGCTCTTCGTCATGGAATTCAACCATGTTCGCCCAGATGTTGGTAACACAGGAAGATGAAGACGAGGTTATTCGTGCAAAGTGTAGTATGGTCCTATATTCGCCAGGAAGAAGCATGTTTTGTGGTGAGTATATAGATTCAACTCGATGGAATGAAAAGAACATGAGTAGGTGAACTCTGTGCATAGACAAGTATGTATTTTCTGAAAGACAAAGCTGTTTCAAAGTTCACTATCAAATTGAACCTTGGAATTGTGAAGGGGAGGTGTTATGTCCTACGGTAAATTAGTCAAGAGTTCAGGCGCGGATTTCGGCAATATAGACCTGGTCAACCTATCAGCCCTTCTGTAAAAGTGCCGGTCCTAGCACGCACTGAACAAAGAGTGACACCGGTGGACCGAGGATATCATTGGGATATTCGATCATTCGACCGTAGGAGATACAGGCGATCAATTTCAAGTGAAGGAGTGAATTCGTTGGAATCAATGCAAACCGAGGACGAAGAGCAAGTGCGCGTGGTGAGTCACGGTTTGTGGCACCAAAAAAAGTTCTGGCCATTGTTTCAGTAAAAGTCTATAGTCTGCCTGAATGGATCGAGTAGCAGCTCAGATTACGTTTTGAACTGATCTTCGATGGTATTTAAAAAAAAAAAAGTATTCAATAAGCCCTGGTTTGAGTTCATGCATAATTTTGCCTTTTCTTTGAGGCCACTGATGATTGAATGGGTAATTGTCGCGATCTGCCATCTGTATACGTTATCTTTCTTAAACACTGTATGCGGTTTTCATTATCGAGTTGTGGATAGAATTTCCTCAGCGGGAAAGGATTAACGACTAATTTGATGGAATAAGATACCTCAGTCTTCGAGAATCTTAAGCTCACCCGGTGAAACTTTTAAAAATGCAGGAACGAGGCTTGCCGTTCTACGAACCACCGCCTGAGCACGAAAATGGATACGTTCGTCCGCAGTACCCCCAAGGTAATTCACTTACGGGACTTCATTATGAATTTTTATTGACATTTCGGGATTCTTGTTTATTTTATTCAGAAATCTGCGAAGGCATAAACATGGGCTACGAGAAACGAAAAATTCGCTGTCCTCCAGACACTAAATGTGGTCTACGAATCCGGGATGCCAAGTCTTGCAGCAGTGTCTCTACCGAATGTGCATTAGATCCGATCTGTCTTCCAAGCAAGTGGAAGTAGTCATCGTTTTATGGTTTAAAATCTAATATTTTGATGGAAAATCCGAGTAATAAGGATTCATTCCTTTCGAGAACCAATCCTATTCGAAAACGCGGTGTTTTTTTCCCGTCCAAAGCCTGACACTTTTACACTGTATGATTCCAGTTTATTTGGTGTTATTCGAGGTCCGTTCATTCTATACACCTCTAGAACATTTAAAAAAGTATTACTTCGGGAATCGAAGAGAGAGTAACAAAGGATACTACTGTACTATAAGATTCAAATTGCAAGGCTTGCGAATTACTCATATGTAATCTTCCGAATGGAGTATACTGTATCACAAGTCCCCATCATCAGGTAATTCTGCTGATTCATTTCCAACTAAAAATGGCAAATATTCTTCAAGGTCACGTGAGATGCAACTGCAGAAATACCCATATTTGCGCTTTCAAGGAAGTTGGCTGCAACGAACATGGATGTGACAGCGTTCCAGTATGTCTCTTAATCGCGATCGGCAATCAAGTTACTCAAGGTTAGTTTATTACCATTTTTCCTCCTGAAAATACAGTAATAATACGAGCACCAAAAAGAAGTTAAAATATTGTACAACTTGTTCTCGGATGATTCAATTTTCATGGCTTTCCTTTTTTGCGGACTTTTTAGAGAACGACGTCGAATACGCAGGTAAGGAACAGCAGTTCTCACGATCTAAATGATGATAGTTCGGACACAAAAATCTCAGGAACCACGAAGTGCAAAATTATGGGAAGCCCAAAGACGGATATTTGCCAGCCGGGTGAAAGTTGCTCAGCGGTTCTTCCTCACGGTGCGACATGCGAAGGTGCTTCCGAGTTATCGAAGCACTGTCCTCTCGAACCCCGTTGTTTGCGCAAGAAAGGTACAGTACTCGTTCAATTGTAAAAATGACTTCCGGAAAATCAAGTATCATTCGTGTCATTTGCGAAAGATTACAGGAAGTGTGAGAATCCGTCGTGTCGTTTGCTAAAGAAGACGTGTGTTTTGGCCGAGGATTGTGATGAAGATGAGTTGGATTTTCGAAAACGTTGCATATTTACTCCGAGATGCCTGGACTTTGGTGAGATGTTGAAAAATATGCTTCAGAAATGTTGAAATATTTTCTCAAGTGTTTTAAAATGATTTTCTTTTGGTAGGCAAATATATTTATCAGACAGAATATTCTGAGATTTTTGCGGAATTCATTAAAAGAACCTGATTGAGGAAAACCTATGTTAATTTTGCTGAACTTGAATGTTTAATGGCAGCCATTTGTTGTTCAACAGTTGACAATTTGAAAATATTTTGCATTCCTCACTCAAGTAAGTGTTGCAAAGATCAAAACATTACTTTCATTTCTATGTGTTTTTCATGTACAAGAGTGGACTGTCTACAACAAAATTCTGTACCAGAAAATAATTTGTACCAGAAACCCCAATAACATGGGGAGAGAACCCTGTGCAACTACAAACAAATTTTTCATAGAGAACATTGTTTTAGAAATTTTTTTTTTAGAGAAGAGGCCACTTGCATGATCAAATTTCTATATATTAACAATATAAGTACTGTATTTGCTTGAGTACCATGAACCCTGGAATAAGACGCGCCTGTTTTTCAGACTGATATTTAAATGAAAACCTATCCTAAAGTAAGATGCACACCTCATTTTCATCGACTGAAAATTTAAATATTTTGAAAGTTAACCACATCAGAAATTTTCACTTGAAATTGGAACTGAGTTCCATTGATTTTAAATGTTTCCCTTTTTATTTATTTATGTTTAGATGTGTGTCCAACATTTTCCATCAGAATCAGCAATTATGAGCACCTGAATTTCTGAAATATTGAAAAAATGTGTAGGTACCTATGATGTATCCTCATCGTTTTTCTTCGTATTGTAATTTGAGGAATACAGTGTCTTTAAATGATTGAAGGTACTGTATTCAGTTTCTGTAAAACTTTTATAAAGTCCATGAACTATTAATGTGTGGTACGCGCTTACAATTTTCTGATATTTTACCCTTTCAACCCAGGAGAGCATAAAATCAAAAGCTGGTCTGAAAATGGTAGAATTTACCTCTGTAAAAATAATTACTGCTTCACGGGAAGAAAAAGACCCGAACTTTAATCCTGGGATTTGTACGTTTTCCTTGAATTCACAACAATTGCATGCACCTGTATTTACGTGTCATTTATTTAGGTTATGCAGGAGAAGAAGCAGAAACAAGACGCGTGGACTCATATTTCAGTAAGTGCTGATCACCTTATTCAAGCGAAGAGGAAAAAAGTGGAGATGAAGGATCCTTACTTGTTTCCTCCCAGAAATTTGCCGAGTGGAGGGAAACGAGAAGGTGGCGCTTTGTTTGGCGAATGAACAATGCGTCAGAACCGTACGACCTGATGATCCGTGCTTGAAAGGACATACCTGTCATTGCACCAAATTCGAGCCAGGATGTCACATTAAAGGTATTATGGAGAAAACTTTTCAGTCCACCGCGGATCGAAATCCATCGAATTTGCTGATGGTAAGAGTGTCACCTAGTCTTAGACTGCAAAAAGACAGAAGCAAAATGTTGCGTGTATAACAACTAGGTGTCGCTCTACAAAAGTCGTAAGCGCTCGTAATTGTAAGTGCGCTTGCTTTTCCTGATGATAGATGTCGCGATACAGCCGGCCTCTCTTCAAAACAAAATTTAAGGGACAGGAAAAAAATCATTGTAGGGATAATTTTGCTGTAAACTACCTCTATAGTATGGTTTGAGAACAACGTGGGGCACGAAATATCCGTTGTACAGAGAAAATCGTTGTAGAGAGTCCCCCTGTGGTACGCCTGTATAATGCGAAAATAATTTAGAATCTGCATCTCTCATTACATTCCAGTGTAAAATTAGTTTATCGCAGTTTCACAAGACCGTAACGATTTTAAATGTAGGATTTACGTAGAGTAAGTGTTCGTGAATAATGAACTTCGTCATTAGGGTTCACAGTTGACTTTTAAAATTCATTCAACGATACTCTCTCGCAGAACGATGCGTTGCGATAATTTTCTTGAAACATAAGTCACTCTTTCGGTGGCCAAGAAGTAGCAACGAGATCAATCCGATAAAATTAATTTCAAAATACTGTACCGTAAATTTGGAAATCATCGCAAGCATTCTTTTCTAGGAGAAAGTTAACTTTCGTAGTTTCAATTTTTTATTTCCTGCTTATGCTGGTCTCCGTGCTGTATGTTCAAATTATTTATCTGAGAATGCGTTCGTCGGTCTTGAATATTTGGTGGGTTAATTTTATGTACAGTATTTATCTTCACTGATTGACAAAAACGAAGATTTATTTACAGGAAGCAAAAGTTGCAAAGACATGCAATGCCAAAGGAGATGTGAGTACACAGGGACAGCTGGGTGCAACCAGTTCGTTTTGGGACCTTGCTGCAAAAATAAGAGGGATCCATACAGACTGACGTGTCCAGCTGAGCCACTGTGTTTGAAAGAGGGTATGTAGTCAGAGATTCAATGGGATGGATTAAAAGGGTTTGGTCAGTACCATATCGCTTTCAATGAAGCACCCGTTTTCTGTGAAAGAAGCCTTTCAACCAGTGCTGCCCAATTCAGATGTGGCAAAGGGCCACATTGCAGGGGTGGAGAGTCCCTGTGAACCAAAACCGACCATGTTTATTTTTTTGTGGTTCCAAATTTTCACCTTTCAAATGATAAGTTTCAAATATAATTCAGTTGCTTATAGTTGAACCTCTGTCAGTTGAATTTCTAGGGACTGGGAAAAAAATTTTACTTAGGGACGTTTTGATTTTGGAGGTTTCCAGTTGAGGAAGCAAACATTTTTTTTAGGAGGAGAAGTAAAAAAATTGCAGGATATCCTAAATGAGGATATTCTTGGTTTAAACTTGCTTCTTACTGAGTTTACACCTTGCTGAGCTCAGAGGCAGGGGTTCATTTGCTCTATTAAGTCTTTCACTCCTTTATAAGATGCATCAAATAATTTTTTTTTCATAATTTTATCTTTCATAATTCAAGGGAAGAGTAATCAAAAGGCCTCAGAAAATTTGAATTTTAATGCATTGATTCTATGGGTATTCAGACAGGGACTTGAAAAAAATCTGACTTAAGGAGGTTTGACTTATTGAGGTCTAAGCACTCTAAGTGCATATGTATTGATCCACAAGCATTGCCTTATAGAATTTTTGAAGCTATGTTTTGAATTTTAAAATTCTTATTCAGTGCTGAACTTCGAATAGTGGCAGCTGCCACCTTGAAAATTTTATGGAAGGGGCTGCGGAATGAATCAAGTGTCTCTGTGGGCCAGATCCGACCCGCGGGCCATGTGTTGGGCAGCACTGCTTGAAACGATTAACCCGCACGTTATCAGTCTGGTCAATGATGGGACTTGAGACGAACCTCCCTTCATTTGTTGAGGATTTACGCTAATTGAAATGCGGGCTACGTTCATATTCGTCATTTACAGTACTATTGACATTTCCAGAATAGTCAGAAATGTTTCACAAGAGCACAGTTTTCAGATCTGGGAAAGTAGTTGCTGGAATGTCAGGTTTTTCAAGTTACTGTACAAAGGGCTTTTGCATTACAGATTAAATTTTTTCGGGGATGAGTTTCCTTACGGAGCAATTTTTGCATACGTGAAATGGGATTCGTCCAGATTTTCATTGAAGAACATGTAATCCGTTCTGAACGCTCAAAGAATCTTGGATGGACGTTGTGAATACTTCTGCAAGTTATTAGTTCAAAATTTTTTGCATGAAGTTTCAATGAACCTGTCAATTTTAAGCTTTCAAATTTTTGAAAATTTCTAGTTTTTGAGGCTGGAGAAGGAAGCAATTTGATTTTTGTATATTTTTGCGAAGGTTCTCAAGATCTCAACAATGTTTTTAAAATTCTAACTTCCAACGTTCTGTGCAATGTTTTTGGGAAATTTTGTGCTGTGAATTTTTTTTATCCTACACCAAACTTCCCACCTCCAAAAAATTACCATTTTCTGCAGAACAGTAACCCTTTTTATTACAGCATTCTAAATATAGTATAATCTTGCTACAACAAATCTGGTCTTGACAAATGCTTGCTCTCGACAAATTCTTTCTGAAAGTCTGTGCCTAATACTTCGGCTGCTGTGATTTTCAAACCAATTCCTAAAAATTGTTCATAGTGAACTTTTTTGTAGCAAAACTTTTTTCCAGATTTAAGCAGCTTTTTTAATAAACACGATTCAACATTCTATGGTAGCGCTTACATCATCATCACTCATGGCCTAAAATCTTTGAAACGTGGTGTGCTGGGTAAAATTCAGTTCCTCCCAGTAATAGGGTGCGTTTCCTTTCCATCTTCTCTACTTTTCAACCTGTGTTAGCGACAATTTGATAGATGTCAGGAAATGTTAATCCAGTTCATTGAAAGAGGAAATACTTCCAAGTTGGGAAATTTTTATCAGAGCTCAGTTTTCAAACCTGGAAAAATATTTGCTGCCAAGGTTTTTCAATCAATTTAAAAATGTACAGTAAGCGCGGGACTGACGAAATCTGATAATCCATCCCTTCTACATTCTTCCAAGTTTGAAAGCAATAGATGGATAAAAATCGTTCTTTTTCCGTAGAATTGTATGCGCCATATGTGTACAGCTCAAGCAGTGAGAGCGCAGAAGGAGACTCTTTGTCAAGAAGCGAAGTTTGTGCCAAACCCTTCGTCACTGGTCCATGCAATGACATGAGCATTCGATGGTTCTTCCACGCCAAAGGCGGAGTTTGTAAGCCATTCATTTACGGAGGATGTTTAGGGAATGAGAATAACTTCCAATCCGAAGTGCGATGCCAGCAATTCTGTCTCGCATAATTTCACTAAGTGCTTATTTCATCAAGAAGGGGTCGTTTTATTTTTGAATAACCAATTGAGACTACTGCAGGTTTACAATAAAGAAACCATACCTCAAACAATGACTGACGTCGGAAGTTTGAATAAAAACGTCAGCGCATATTTGCTCTTGCAAGGTTGACCTCCTGCTTCTTTTTTTTAAATTATGCTAGTTGCAAAAAATGGGATATCGAACCTGAACTTCGAAACAGCAATTGTTCGTTTGTTTGAAAAACAAACAAGAGTCTTCATAAAATGGTATCGAGACACAAGAGCATTTTGAAGAGAGAATTCTAGGCCAAAATGAGTTGAAGCTGTTTCTTGGTCATGTAACACTTCATTTGCTCTTTACCCAATTAAATCTTTCAAACGAAACACTTGACAAAAAAAACTGCAGCATTCGTCTTTTCAATTTTCCGCGGAAGAATTTGAGATCAACGCTAGATCCTTGCTGCAGTTCACACCATTCACACCCGCCTTATCATGCGAAATATCTTCGCGATTAAAATTGTAACAGAAAACCTGCGCTGCGTCGTCCGCACTGATGTCAGGTAATTCAACATCCTCCGAAGCCTTCGTTTCTTCTGACTGCTTGAGAAGTAATCCACAATCACCTTTGTACCAGAACTCCACATTGCTTCTCATAAAGCTGCAAAAAATGCCATTTGGACAACACTGAGATGGCGAGTGCTGCACTGTACATTATTTCGTATTTTAAGGGACCAGCAAAAAATTCGAGTCACAGGGAGATTTTTAAAGCAATACTTCCATGGGTATTCAGACGGGGACTTACAAAAAATTTAACGTAGGGAGATTCAAATTAATCGTGGTTCAACTGAATATTACAGTACCGTAATTTTGTGAATACAGTATGAACAATTTTCTTTTTCTGGACTCACTCGAGAATATCGTAAACGTAGTTCATCACCAAGCCGGCCCGTCGTTCTTCCAGAGCTCGCTTGTTCAGGCATTTCTCCAGCACACACACAAAATCGGAGCCTTTGTGGATAAATGTCAAGTTTTATAATAGAATCGTAAAAATCAAGTATCAGATCGATACTCACAGAGCAATCGAAGTAAATGCACGCCTCCATACATTTTGATCAACGGTTCCTCGTTTCCTTCCTAAAAAGCACAGGCAGACAATACTGTAGTTCCAAACATCTCAGTCTTGTGGCAATGCAAGAAAAAACTAACCGTCATATTCCTATGCATGGCTTTCTCCGAGTCATAGAGTAGTCGAACAGGAAGCAAAAGCTGAAACAGGTCTCCGATAGCACCAACCACCCGCTCGATAACTCTCACCCTGGTGGACATTCAAAGAATTTCAATTAATCCGAATACACATTTCTTCCAACAGATGACGCATCCGAAAAACGTACATACAATAGTCCATAACCTTTATACTGTACCTCAGGACACAACGAATATATTATCGTTTGACTAAGAACAACTCGTGGAATATAATTCACTGCTCAATTCCAAAATCTTCCGACACTAATCCTGAGAAAGTACCTCATTTTACAAAGCCATTAGCTTCAGATCACACTTCTGACTCATCCTCACAAGTGGAAAGACAATCAACAGGTGAGGATATCCGTCATTTGAATTGTACTAACTGTAGTACATTCTGGGGCCTATAACAACAGTGCAGTGCAGCCCAACTCAGATGTGGCCAAGGGCCAGATTGCAGAAGGTGGAAAGTCCTTGTGGGCCACAATAGACAGGTTCCAAATTTTCCTATTTTCAATTATAAGTTACAAATTTAATTCAGAGCTAAATTTGAGGAAAATCATAGCCTTACAGAATTTGTGAAGAGTTGAGCAACATTTTTAATTTTCAAATTCAGTTTTCAAACTGCACATATTTTTGAATAACGGCAGCAGCCACCTTGAAAATCATAGGGAAGGGAACATGGGACAAATGAAGAGTCTCTACTGGCCAGAACTGTCCTGTGGGCCATGTGTTGGGCAGTACCTTCGCTGAAATAGCGTTCCACAGTAATTCAAAACAAATAACGTACATTGAAACAGCAAGATTCAGAATACCGCTTAAAAATGTGCTTCAATTCAAATGATAATCATCGTAACCGATTTATTTGAATTCGCGTAAATTAGCTTTTGAAATCCGGGGGCTTAGAAAAAGAGGACTCACTTGGCATAATTGCATTGAAGAATGTCGGGTCTGGTATCCAGATACCGCTGAAATATTTCGTCGATCGTCACGCAAGACTCAAATTTCACCTCCTAGAGACACAAAGATCATTAAAAATTATGCACTTCAAGTCCTTCAACCGACACAGACAACAAAGCAGAACATTTTCAAGTACCTGCCATGTCTTTCAAGCAAAAAATTTTCGAGCCTGCAGAAGTTTTATGAAACTTTGCTGGTCTACAGAAAATGTTTTGGAAATTTGCCAGTTTGTTGACAATTTTAAGATTGTGCCTTTACTGCACTGTACATCTATTTCGCAATCAGGAGAAACTTTTACCTCAACTGATGAACACTCCTTCGCGTCTTGCACTAAAATGCCAGCCAAATTCGGCGGAACGTCAATATCCAAAACGCACTCCACATTCGGGTCCATCAACTTTCGCGGAGTTTTCATAGACGAATACTGTGGTTTGACGGCAACCCTGTCCGGCTTGGCAAATGGCGACTGCCGTACCGTCGAACTCTCTCCAAAGCCGAGCTTCCGTCTGTGCTTAAGCTTCTGATGAGATGGTCGCTTTTCGTCTGAGCCATCAACTTCTTCCTTGACGACTCTGTCATCGCTTCCGTCGCTCAAGTCCTCGCTATTGCTTTTCGTTCGCTTTCGCTTGAGCTTCTTCGTGGCGGATGACGCGATCCGAACGTCTTCTAGTTTTAAAGATGGTTCGAGGTTAAGGGGTTCAGCTCGCGGGGGAGACTGTGTCGGAGTCGGGGATTTGGTGGAACCCCTGCGAACGCGATCCGAGTTGGATGCATTGTCTTGGTCCGAATGCTTCTTCGGTGATCGTGACAACGGCTGCTTTTCGTCAGATTTCGTAGATTTCACGGCATTCCTGCGAATTTTAAAACCAAGAAAACTGATCAAATCGTCCTCGGAATACACAAATGACAGTGTAGTTTCATTTTTATAAGATTTTCACAAGTTTTGGTCGAATTTCTAACGGTTTTTGTCCCAAAATAAGCGAAAAAACTTCTGTGCAATGTGGTACCTCCAAGCATTTCTTAATACACTAACATCTTGTTACAACAAATTTTTGGAGACTACTGAAAAATTGTGTTATACTAAGTAATTTGTTACAAGATTTTCAAAATTAATGACCAAAAAACATTCTCACATCAGACCTGCTTATATTGAATTAAATCTTGCATTCCTGGCATTCCCAGATATTTTAATATTATTTGAAAAACTGAGCAACGCATTCCATCAGTTGCACCAATCTCTTCATTCAAGGAGGATGATGCATGGAACCACTTGGAAGCATGTTTGTCATTTAATACAGCTTCCATCCATGCCATAACAACCAGTTGGTCCAATTCGGGAACAGAAATTTTCAGACTGTGCCTGCATTAGTCATGAAATTTCTACCTGGACAATATATTGACCATTCCTCAAGTGTTGTCCTGGAATTGGGAAGTTTGTTAGAATGAAATTGTTTCAAAATGTACTCCACAGGCTTCTTGCCAGGATTTGATAAAAAGTTTGTTACATTCAAAATTTTGTTGTAACAGTATTTGTTGTAGTGAGATTTTACTGTTATTCACGCAAAAATACAGGCAATCCATCTACAACAATCTTGTCTGCAACAATTTTCTCTGTACTGTATAACAAAATGTTTTTCTGGGCCAATGGGTTTCCTCTACTTTAAAAGGGTTTCTGCAACGAAAATTCTCTTCAAAACGCTTTTTTCGGGTCCATCGAGTTTTTTTTTTTGTGGAGTCAATGTGCGTGTACCTCTGATACCTGAGTAACCTGACACAGAAGACTATGTGTCAGCAATAATAAATGAATTGTTCTTTATTTCTCACACACTGACAGACACATGGTAGTGAAGTGAAAATTCAGCTTCAAGCTGGCATGAAATTCCATAGTCGATGGCCGTCAAAATTCCGAAAGTGTCTTCTTTAATAAAATAAATTTGTCGCCCAATTGAAAAAAAACAGCCAGAAATTAGCACGAAACTCACGCATTCTGACGAACCGGAACAACTCTTTCCGCGTATTGCTTGTGCCGATCAGTGCCCGGAAGAACGAGTCTCGGCGACGTGCACGGGATCCATTCATCATATCTTTGAAAAAAATAAATAATACCTACACTAGGCTGGAAAGACGATAATTCCAAAAACACTCACATTTTCTTCCATCCGAAATAATGAATCAAGTATTGCTTGATTCCATCTTTTTCTCGTTTATCCGACACTCGGGCAGCATACAAAGAAGGGCCATGAAAACAGAACAGTTCATTCCCTGTATAGATAAAACAATGCGTCAAAAGGTATTTTTTCGACTCATATCCAATATGAATCAACTAACCTTTTTCCAAGTCCAAAGTTTCAGCCCCGCCAGGTTCTTCCGTTTCCATCCCACATGAGAACAAAAACAAGGTGTGATAATGAACTGCGAAAATTTATAACAATCAGGAAAATATGAATTGAAATCGATATTATAATCAGGAAAAAGCTCAAGTAATCCTCAAGTTCTGCACTTCAAGACTCCTGAAGTTGTTGGTAATGCTTTGTTCACAAAGTTACGGATCAGTGACAAATTGCCAACATCAGAGAGAACACAATTTGTAAAAAAAAAATGGGATTTTTGGTACAGTGAAATTTGTTGCAGACCAGATCAATGTAGAAAGAGTCCATCTGTAGTGACACTTCGTCGGAAAACAAGGCGTTTTCATTTTAGTACTTTTGCACAGAAAAGTGTCTTTTGTATGAAAACTGTATCTACTTCACAATTATGTAGATATATCATGAAAAACTTTCTATTTTGGAAAAGGTATACAATGTACAATCAAAATTTTCAAATCTTGGTTTTTGGGCTGAAAAGGTGATTCTTAGTTTCACGGACATGCATTTCTGGGATAAATATGAAAAACGAAGATTTTTTTTGCTGAAATAAGTGCTACAGGTGGACTCTCTCTACAATAAAATTCAAGGGACAAGAAACATTTTTATAGAGAGAAGTTTGTACATAGAGAAAACTTATAGCATGTGGAGAAAACGCATTTTGAACACATTGTTAACTTAAATCCCAATTCCATAATTTATAAATGACAATATTGATTCTTGTTGGAGTACTTATTCGTCACTGATAGTCCCAACATAATTTTGATCATCTTCCCAGGCGAAAAACTTGAAAATTTCAGTAACCAGATTATTTTTTTCATTATTTGGAAAGCAATTCCTTATCAACATAAATATTCGTTACCAGGTTTCGATGCAAGCGTGTCACTCAACATTTGAAAATTAAAAAATATCTTGACCTTTTCCCAGCACCTTGAAGATGCAGTATCAACCATTTTACTATAACTTGAAATGGTGAGGGAGAGTCTTGAAACTTTCAGAGTCAGTCAGTCAAGAGCAGAACTCAGGTGAGAATAAAATTGTTGAAAATTATAACAATTCAGGAAAAATTTAATAAAAAATTCCGGATACAAAGCGTCATTGAAATGACCTAAAAACTCTTAACCACGGTGGAAACAACAACAACAATCGTCATTGTACTTAGTCCAACCATGACCCAG